GTAAGTACAAATCCAACTTTATTTCTATACCTTGGATACAGAATTTTCTCGTTGAGAATATACAGTTTCTCGTAGGCTGTTGAAGAGTCCTGCCAGGGTGGCTCTGTGGCGTGCCTGAGACAAGCGTCTTTTCCCTGCTTGTGGCTCTGAATTTTGCAAGCGCGCTTGATACCTGGCTGTCACTCTGACATAGGGAGTGCCACAATCTCTAGATTTCTCCATAAAAGCTGTAAAAGAATACATTACTTAAAAAGTAACTCTGCATTATCTGCACTGAGTATAACAAAGTTGCACATATTTTAATTAAATCATTCTTAAAGCCACTTGAACTTCATAGCACATTAGTTAATTGACATATACTATCACTAAGTGTTAAAGAGAAACACTTTTTAAGATTACTTGTATTCAGCTGGAGAGCTCCCCTGCACTTCAAAAGAAAATACAGTTGTACAGTAATGGACACAGGCCATGCTCTTCTAACTCCTTCCAGCAGATGAAATTTAAGCTGGTGTGCAACTCTGTGTGAAGCAGAGAAATTTGCTGCTTATTTCTCAGTGCTGAAATGTCTATTCCAGTATTAAAGCAGGGTTATTCATATTGATGGTGAATCAGTGCACACCACATTTATTATCCTTTTAATATAATTGCATTCTATGAATATGCTGCAGCCATAATGAAATCCTAAGTGCAGTACAATAGGTAGGGTACTGGGCTGAGACTGAGAAAACATGGGTTCTACTGCTGACTCAGCCATGAAGCTCACCAGGAACTTTGGGTCAGTCACTGAGTCTCAGCCTAACCTACCACCTAGAGTCGTTCTGAGGAAGATCCTGTACACTAACTTGGGGTTCAAATACAGCTAGTTCTAAATATGCATGCTTGCAATTAGAGCATGAATCTTGTATGCTAGGTAGAGTACAGCAAGCTTGAATGGAGTTCATGCCATTGCAACAGAGCAATATAGAAAGTTCTCCCAGATCTCCCCATTGCCATCCTACTAACTCCCTTGAGTTGATCCCAGAATAAAGCTAGCCAGAATTTAAGCCTGGGTTATTTCTTCCTTGATTTCCTTCACTGTCATGATACTCTGATCTTGGATAAACTTTATATCTGAGTGACTGGCAGACTTTGAAACATATACAAAGACCGAGCCTAGAATTATTAATTGTTCTAAACCAATTGTTTCAACAATCCCATTTCATCACCAGATTCTCTTCACTGTATTGATATTGCCCAACCACTATGAATAGGGCTTGTCCCTTGAAAAACTTGGAAATGCCAGTGGTATCTTATTCTGTGAAAAAATGCAAATTATGATTTTTAAAATTCAGCTGTGTGGGAAACACTGCAGACTCATCCCAGTCCCGCAAATCTGAGTGTAAAGGCTGCTAAAATTAATGCAACAGATGCCTTAATTCTATTAATTAGAATTAATTCTATTAATCTTCATAGTGATACATCATTCACTATTATTGCTTGGACAACTACGAGCCTCATCCACTCACCATATGCAGCAACAAATTTCCTCCCCTTGTACCCCTGCGTATATTGTTAGCCAATTAAGAGTCCTGTTAGGCTACCGAGCTGCATATTCATTTAAAAATATAAATAAAGGGTAAGGATCTATTGAGATTGCTATCAATAGGTCTTACTTCTGTGTGAGGTATATGAGGCTTTCTGAGTTTGGGGACCATACAAGGTGGCAGAGCAGATCCTTTGCATGCAAATAGCTCATGGTTCATTCCCAGGATGGGGAAGGGGGTCACTTGCCAAGAAATGCTAGGGTGCTGCTGCCACTTGGCATACACAACCTTCCCCATCTAGTTCCCCCCAGATGTGGAAGAATACCATTTCTCAGAAAGCTTGAGAGATGCTGGGAGTCACAGTCCAACACATCCTTAAGGCACGGAGAGTAATGCTGACACTGAGCGAGGTGAAGGTGTACGGAAAACAAGCTACATAAAGTCTGTCATTTCCTCAAGCCTGCTTTGTCACTCGTTTCTTTCTTTCCTTTTTTAAAGCCAATTTCCCTCTTGGCTCCAAGTAAAAGATAAAAACATGCCTGCTGTTTCTGAAGATAGGTCCACCAGCCCACCGCATTTTCTGCTAATATCTACCACAGTACCTATATAGCCATTTGCCAGGCTCTTCCTGGCCAGAGACTATTCTTTACTTGAATTTCACCGCCTTTTTCTGGGTTTAGTCGTCCTGTCCGAGCTTTTCTAACCTTCTTTAGGAGTGCCAACAACGTTCCCCACTTTATGCCCTCAGTTTCTTGCTGCCCACTCTTCTCCCGCTTTCCAACCTCGCCCCTAGGATAGGAGAATAGGCTGCAGACTTCTCTGTGGGGTACACCTCACACAGCAGATACTTTGCACGCTCCCGCCTATTCCTTCTTCTCACCTTACGCAAAATAAGCAACGTCTCTCCCACCCATCCGCATCTACCTCCCCACACCCTCCCTTCATAGCAATATTTTCGTGGCGTAGGACAGGGAGCACCAATCAGAACGCAGGAGGCGACGGCAGCAACCAATAAGAAATCTCTGGCGTTAAGCAAGATTCTGATGGGGCCGGGAAATTGGCAACAAAAACGCGGGAAGAAAAATAAGCGAGGGGGCGGCAGGAGAGTAAGCAGGCAAAAGTAGAGTGTGGGTAGGGAGCGGAAGGTGGGAGGCGTGGAGGAGCGGGCTGAGTGAGGACATGTTAAAGTGCTGAGGAGAAAAAAAAATTAACGCGTGTACACGTAACACAAACACATGTACATAATACTCTTATATAGGGTTATTACTATAAACCACTTGTCCAGGAATGTTGGCCGAGAAGCTAACATGCTAGAAGTTGTAGGCCAACAAAGTTTTCAGCTGACCAGTTAGGGAAGCTTGGACTTACAGTCCTGGGTGCAGGGAGAATTGTATTCACATGGTAGATGACTGCCTCTGAGTTATCCACCTAACAATGGGATGTGATTTAATGGGGTATTGAGTCTGCAATCTGTGCCTACCTACATAGTGTAGGTGCTCTGTGGCTTGTTATTAATCTGAATCACCTCACCTGTGTATACATAGCAACTGAGAGTGCCCCGTCTGAATTAGGCATTGAGCAAGTGCAGACCTGCTCAGTTTTTCTTGGAAAGAATAAAAAATGTTTTTCCATACATAAACTGTTTAAGCAGAGTGCTGTTTAAACAGTTCTCTCCATCAGGTAATGATGGCCATTCATCAGGGAGCTACTAGAAGACCTGTATCCATATTCACATGCAAAGAAGTAATTCTAATGACTACACTTGCCCTGCCTGGGTAATAAAGATGTGCATAACTGAGACTACAAATACCGGTATGCAGTAGGACAACCTGTTCCTATCAATTCTTGAAGAATTTTGGGATATGTAAGTTAGTACTTGCTCATAATCTGTACAGGGTCTAGTGTATGTAGTCATGAGATAAATGTCTATGAGAATACTGTTCATTGCTTTTTTATTCTGGAAAGTTGATAGAATGTCAAAAATAGAAATAATGAATATGAGGACTGTAACCCTGAGGTTTGCTCCATTTAGGTTGAACAGGATGAAAGAACACAAAAGTGTGCTTGCCACAGAACTCAGTTACTTTTGCTGTCATCACACAGTTTCACAGAGACCTTAGCTTTGCTGTCATTTCAAGTTTTGGGGTATCTGTCATTTCCAGATATGCATAGATGCTGACCCAGAAACTCTAATACCAGTGGAAACAAGAGGTCGTTACATGCCATCAAGTTGTCTCCAACATATGGCAACGCTATGAATGAAATACTCCAAAATGTGCTGTCCTTTACAGCCATGCTGAACTCTTCTAAACTCAAGACTGGCTTCCTTTATGGAAGTGACCCATCTCATATTTGGTTGTCTTCTTCCACCTTCCACCTTCCTTAGCATTATTGTCTTCTCCAGTTAGTCTTGCCTTCTCATAGTGTACTGGAAGTATCAGTTTTGTCAGTTTTGCTTTCAGGACAAGTTCTGGCTTAATTTGATGTAGGACCGACTTGTTCATCTTTCTCTTGGTCCAGGGTATTCGCAGTGCCATGCTTTGAATGCATTTGTTTTTTCCTTTCAACTTTCTTCACTGTCCAGCTTTCACTCCCTTATTTAGTGATCAGGGATAAAAGAGTTTGGATGATCTTGGCCTTGGCCTCCAGGGAGATGGCTGTTGCAGTTGAACTTTCTAGTCAGAAATAATTCAAAGGAGTTTACTCCTAGGTAAGTAAGGAAAGGATTGCCGCTTAAACTGTTGCAGGACTGTTATTTTGGTTTCAAAATGCTTAGCAATGTGTCCTAAGTTTCTTTGAGGTAGATGGGGGACATGGTATACAAATTTGGCATATTTATTTATCATATTTCTAAACCACCATGTAGCTGAAGCTCCCTGTTCACGTTTGGATGTTAGCAGATATACCCCCATGGGTAGGACCATAGGAAAAAAACAGCTGGAGAGCGAGAACAAGTTTTGAACCACAACATTAGGGAGTAAATTCTCAAAGTTTGATAGAAAGCGAAGTACGAGGAACATGTTCTAATTGTATTAAGCTTATACACGGACAGCGTGTGCTAATAGTAAACACTTGGCTAAGTTACTAAGCTAATTGGGACATCTGGGTTTTTTAAAGCTTGATATCTCGAGACTCATGCGAACATCGTGAGTTCCTAAAATTGCGAAACTTTGTACTCGTTGTTGCAGGAAAGAACTCTTCCGAGACATACCGCCGTGCTGTGATCTGCCTTCGGGCTCAGATTCAGCCATTTAAAAGAAAAAGCAAAACATAGCCTCTTCCCTTTTACAGAAAAATAAAAGCAAATGTGGAGATTGCTGTCCTAAAACTCGGACTGTCTTAAAAGGAACCATTAGAAGGACAGTGAAGGGAGGAAGCGCCGAACCGCAGCGGGACGGCGCCAGCAGAGGGATTGGGGCAGGGAGTGTGCGGGGCGGTGCGCACGGCTCGGCGCCGCCCTCCTATTCCCCGTGACCCGGCGGTGCGATGGCGGCTGCGGCGGAGCGCACTGACGAGCTGGTGCGGGAGTACCTGCTGTTTCGCGGCTTCACCGGTACTCTGAAGCAGCTAGACGCGGACATCAAGGCGGACAAGGAGAAGGGCTTCCGGGTGAGGGTTGCAGGGAGGCTTACTAGCAGGAGTGGGGTGGCTGAAAGGGGCAGAGATGGGAAGAAGAGGCTCAATTGAGATTAGTACTCCCCTCCGCCCCACACACGCCCATCCATACATGTCTTTTTCACATTATCTCAGCCTTGCATGAACAGTATGGCTAATGTAAATGTTATTTGCCCGGGATTCCGAGCGCCCATGTCAGTGCCGCGTGGACAGGATAGGGGCTGCTGGCTATATAGGCCGCCCTTTTAGTTTCGATGCTTTTTGGTCTCCATTGCAGACCGTTCAAAGACAACCTGATCTCACAAAGTCCTTTGTGGTGCTGCGAGTATCCAGCTTTAAGCAGAGCTGTACTGTGGAACCAGTTTGTTCTCAGCTGTGCTGAGCTCAATTGCTTTGGAACTATTGCACTGGTGATGAAGAGGAGAGAATGTTTGAGTGTGTACAGCATTTCCCCTTTCTCAGTTGAATAACTGCCCTGGGCTTTATGCCTCTGCTGTTGTAGGCAGGGTGTCCAGTTAAGCTTGTAACCTGGCACTTCCTCTGTTTATGTGTAGTATTCCTTCAAGGTGGCTTACAAAACTGGAGCTATTAACAATAAAAAAGAGATAAAACCCATCTTTAATCATCAACTCAGACATATAACCCAGTTTGAGTGCTTTCCAGTGTGACCACCTGTAACTCTAAATAGTGAGTATCAGTTGTCTTGGCACGCTTCCCATCCTCAAAACAATTTGCACACCCAAGGCCCTGGCTCATGAGGAGAGAGATGCTGGAGGCACCCCCAGGATGTCATGTGGTGCTGGTGTCTTCTCCCTGCTTTGTGCCCCAGTGCCATCTCTGAGGTCAACCTTATAACCTAGGAGCTGCAAAGGCAGAGAGTGCTGTGAATTTGGGGTACCAGCTCTGACCTAAGAGCACTTTCCTGAGGTTGGAGCTGGGACTCCTACAGCCATTTATACAGTGTCTAGTATACTACTAATTTAAGCCATTTTACAGCATTATAGATACTCCTGATTTTCCCTTCATGTGAACTGAGGAAGAGTGGGTACAAATTAAATGAAAAGTCTTCCTAGGGACAACTAAGCAATGCATGACATCAAGGCATGATCAGATGCTAGAGTCATAGAAGATAAACTAGAGGAATTATAAATGCAAGGCCTAGGGGGCAACATAATAAAATAATTAAATGTCTTATTGAGGCAGAACAAATAGTTCGCATATTTAGGCAAAGATAGATTCAAAAATTCCAGCATTCCTCAAGCTGGCTGAGACCTTTGTCAGATGCCTCCCAGTTTGTTTCACTAAAATTCCCCAGCATTGCACTGATGGAGACATAACCATTTCTTTTGAACTGTTTAAACCAGAACTGCTTAAACACCTCGGTGAGGGTGTTCAAACATAGACTGTACATGCACATGGTGGGCATGTCGTGAGTGGAGCCGACTGGAACCGGGGGTCAGACTAGATGGCCCGGGAGGACCCTTCTGACTCACTCTGTTTCTATGTTCTTAGCGGACTAGTATGATAAGTGTAGGTTCTTGGTCCATTATCAGATACACATCGCAGAAACACCCGCCTTCCCAAGGTTTCAGTTGGGAAGTAGTATCCCAAAACTACTGATGCTACCCAGTACAATCTTTGGTAATACGGTATGTGGGATAGGTAGGTAACACAAGGATGAATCAGAACAAAGGTGGCATCCTGTTTCCCATAGTGGTCAACTAGATCTACTGGGGTAGCTCAAAAGCAAAACATGCCCTTTCCTGCTTTGGTCCCCTAGCTACTGGTCTTTTGGCTGCCTCTGAAGCTGGAGGTAATATGCAGCCATCATGAGTAATCAGCATGTTAGCCTTTTCTCCATGAGATTATCTGTCTCCTTACAGAGCTATTAATGGAGGCGGTGGCTATCACAATTAGTGAAGAAGCTATCCAAAGAAATATACCCTGTGCACACTTGCATGAGAGTGGACTCCCCTGAACACAGTGGGGCTTACTGCTGAATGTATTGAATTGCTTTGTTAACTCTGTTTTAGGTAGCAAAGCCAGGAAAATATCTGAGGCTGGTAAAGTTTTTAAAAATTTGGGCATTTGGTTAGGTGGAATAGTGATGTTGTTCATTGACTGTGGACAACATTTGGGGAAATGTAGATGATTTTTCTGGTGCTTGGATTTTGAATATTCAGGAGGTTCTTGGTTAATGAACTGGGGGTTAATAGCAAGTCTGATGAGAAAATGTGGTGCATCATTTTTGGTATCATGGTCTTACTAACAGTAGTTTAACATATGAGTTCAACTATGGGCCCTCACCTGGATCTTTTATGTTGCTACCTTGGAGATAATTTCATTGTGATTACTATTTGGTTATACAAAAGTACTGATTTGGCATAAACACTTCAAAACAAAACTGCCCAGACTGCTTCAGCTGTGGGGCAGTATAAAAATGAAATGGATAATAATCATAACATGAAATCCCATTGCCTTACCGGTTAACATATTTAAGTCCCTTGCTTTCATTCTGCTTAAATTGCATTCTACACAAGTATACTGGAATGATGGAATGATGCCATCCTCACAGCCATGCTCATCAGGCTTGTGTTTTTATTTGTTTATTTTTCAGTTTATATCCTGCCTTTTTCCTACAAAGGGCTCAAGGCAGCTTACATCTCCTCCTCCATCTTATCCCCACAACAACAACCCTGTGAGGTAGGTTGGACTGAGTGTCTGACTGGCCCAAAGTCACCCAGTTGGCTCCATGGCTGAGCGGGGACTAGAACCCAGATCCTCTGAGTTCCAGTCCCATGCTCTTAACCACTGCACCACACTAGCTCAAGATGTTTTTCTTCATCTTGCCACCGCTGATGCTGCTTCTCCCCCTCCCTCTTGATTCAAACAACCTTATGTAAAAAGTAGATTTCACAGTACAGGATCAAGAACTTTGAAATGTAGAAGCAATAAACTGTGTACTGGAAAGACAGAGGCTCAAACTGAGCCAGAAGTGGAAACCTCAGGCCCACAAGACAAATGTAGCCTTCTTGGGGTCCAGTCCTATCGTTCAGGGTTTTCCAGATGACCCTGACCCCTTCACTTGCTTCTAGTTCCTTTCTTCCAAGCACCAATTGTTTGCTGTTTCCTGATTTTTCAACAGTTTTTCCCTATTCTAAAAGACTGAGAAACTTCCCCTAAGGCTATTTACTGACAGTGAGAGTTTGTTGTGAAATAATGCTAGTATTTTTGTCTCCACCCCTTTTGCCCCACCCATTGCCCAGGAAATTTCTCCGAAAATGAATGTGGTTGTAGGGCTCAGATTCAGTGCCTAGCTTGTGGCTGAGGCAACTGAATCCTAGCCAGGCTACTGAACATGGGAATCTAGGACCATTCTGTAGCTGAGTCTTTGGTGGGCAGAATGCATGTGCTTGCTGTTGGGTTTGTGGTGCAACCTTGATTTGTTTATTTACCGAGTGTTGCACAACAAATGAAAAATGCCCTGAGCCGGATGGACTGTGGAAGTCTTACAGCATGACAAGTCTTACAGGACCTGCAGAGACACAAGATTGCCAAGGATGGTGTTGGCCTTGTTTTGAAAGAAGATGTTGAAGGCAACCTTCTTGTTTTCAGCCAGTCCTCAAAACAGTGGACAATTAAAAATAGAATGTGACAAAAAGGAAGTATCAGTCAAACTACATTTATGCCATCTTTCCAAGCCTTGCTGCTAAAATAGAAAGGAACATCTGCTTGGAAAATCTTGGTCAATTGTGAAAAATTTAACCAATTGCCTATTTTGCTTTTCTCTCTTTCCATCTTTAGGTAGATAAGATAGTGGACCAGCTTCTGCAGTTTATTCAGAGCTATGATCTGGCTGCCCTTCGGGATTACTGGAGTTACCTTGACAGGCGCCTTTTCAGTCGATTAGAAGATGTGTACCGGCCTACGGTGAACAAGCTGAAAATCAGTTTATACCGCTACTACCTCGTTCATGCTGTGCAGGTCTGTGTCAGGCTGGTAGCCTTGTTTAAAAATTCTGTGACTTTGTTAAAAAGAACATATATCTTGCTATTCTTCTCCAGCTGTTGTGCTGTTTGGTGGCAAAAGCAGCCTTATGACTTGATTTGGAATAGAAAAGCAAGGAAAAATCTGTCTATATTTGGAAATGATTCTGCAGAAAAAACTGAAATCTGAGCCTCTTTGTCTTTTCTATATTTTAGACAAGCAGGAATGATAAGACACAGGAATTCTTTCTCAGGCATGCCTCTGAACTTCAGAACCAGGTTGAGTGGAAGGACTGGTTTGTTCTGCCCTTCATCCCAAACCCAGAAGCAAACCCAGCCTTTGCCACATATTTTTCCCGCCAGTGGGCAGACACTTTCATCGTTTCTCTGCACAACTTCCTCAGTGTCTTATTTCAGTGCATGCATATCCTTTTTTTGGTGTTGAAGAATAACTTCAAATCTATAGAAGCTTCATTCTATATGCACATCTCTCCCGTAAGAAAGCAGTAACTTGCTGTTTGTTAGTTTATTGGGGGAATGATTTTGTGGATTGCTTTTTGGCTCAACTGCATTTTCCTCAGGTTTCAGATTAATATCTTCTGGTCCTTCAGTAGTGGATTATCCTCAGCTCTGTAATTTAGGAAGGCTGTGAGAATGTATAGTATTGGTTATAATCGTCTAGTCCAGCCTTCCCCAACCTGATGGCCTTCAGAGACATATGGACTGCAACTCCCAGAATTCTCATCTAGCAGGGCCACTGACTAGGAATTCTGGGTGTTGCAGTCCAAATGACTGGAAGGCTGCTCTAGTCTGTAGTCCACAAAAATGGATCTGCCCTAAACAAATCAGCTGAATCAGCGAAACCTTTGGCTGAACAAATCAGCCAAAGGTTTAGCTGATTTTAATAGAAAATGTAAGGTGACATTCAGCCCAATCTTTGCTCCTTCTCTGCCATCTCCTGGCCCCTTTGTCTTTGGGGCTCCCAGTTTCCCTGACTCCAGGGTTTTATTTCTTATCTGCTTGCTTCTTCCCAACCATACACATTCATTCTAGTCTCTTGGCACTCTGTTGCCCTGTTCTCCTGCCAGTTGCCAAATGCACCTTTTACTTTTGTCACAGAAGCTGTTCTGTATTTAGTGCTTCATAATTTTTGTACACATTCCATGACTGTGCACCAACTCAGCCAGTCACTGGACAGCATTGCAAGCAACAGGTAATTAATATGTGGCAGCCATTTTTAGTCTGTTTTGTATATAAAACAGGGCCGCCTTGGTCATTGCACCTCACATTTAGAATTCTCTTTCAAGGAAGGTATGACTAGCACCCATTTTATCTTGCTTTTGATGCCAAGTCAAGACTTTTCTATTTGGTGTCTGTTTTTAGATTGGATTATTGATTTGCTACTGGTTTATTGTTTGTCATTATAGGTTATATTGTGTTTATTTTCCTCCTATTCCTATTTATATGGTTGTATTTGTATTTTAATTCTACTATGTTTTATGGTTTGTTTGTTTCTTACTTATTTTTATTTGTATTATATATATATATGTATTGCACTGTGAGCCTCTGGCTAGGGGGCAGCATACAAATGTGATAAATGAATAAAATGTAACCCTTTTGCTACCCTGCAGAACACTTGAGCAATGGGGATGGTATGTTGGGTAGAAAGGCAGGATCAAAACTATTTTCAAAATAAAGAAGATTATTAGAGATACCATAGATGCAATGGGGTCATATAACTCTCTAAATCTTAGGGATGTGGTGGGGGGATCTGTTTTAATTTCAAAGAATGGAATAGACAATTTAAAATATCTTTTAACTCTCAACCACCAAGTGTCAGTCCAAATGATTCTTATGATGCTTCTGGAAAATGTTTGGGTTTTGGTGAACTGCAAGAGGAAGGAGTTCTATAGCAATCTTAGGTTTTTTTATCCTTAACTTTTCTAACCTGTACCAGTCATCTTGAACTTTGAGGCCGAATGTCAAAGGAGTAATCTTCTGCAAGAAGAAAATGAAATTCTGCGTCAAAAGGTGGGTGTGGCAGATCTTGGAGTTTCAATATAAAAATATTTTTCCATTTTCTTTACTTAACCCAAACTATTACCATGTTTGCATCTCACGTTAACATGGGAATCCTGACTGGAAAACAACAACAACAACCCTGTTCACATGTTATGACAGCAGTTTTTGGGTTGTTTAACCCAGTTACTGCAGGAATGAGTGGAGTATGTGCATCACACGTTCATTATTTCAGCTTTTAATTAACACCCTGCCCCTGGATTATTTTGTGATATGCAAACCTACCTGGAAACTTTAGTTAATCAATCCATGGAGGATTCTTGGATTAACTCTGGGTTGTTTAATTAATAGTTTCTGTGTGCTCATTTCACAAAATAACCCTTGTTTGCTGTTTGAAAGCAGTGAACTATGTGTGCTCCACTTGTCTCCACAATTCCTGGCTTAAACCACCCAGCAATTGCTGTCAGAACATGCAAACTGGGTCAGTGTGCCTGAGCATCATGCAGGTCCATTCGTACTGTTCAGCTTCTCATTTTCTGTGAGCAGGTAATCATGTCAGGGAGGGAGTTTCACTGGTCATCTAAACCCAGGATTAGTAATAGGTGGGGAATCCAGTTTGGGGGTAGGAATCAGTCAGATTTCCTGGACTCAGTTCCCCTGACTCTGGTGCACTTTCTCTGTGCCCTGTTGTGTGGGAGTCTGGCAGGAAGCAAGCGAGTCCACGAGGCTGATGCACATGGTGCCTGCTGTGCAAGTGGAGTTCTGCTTCCAGACATGTGCCTTGTGGGCTTTGCGTCATTTGTGTAATGAATTGCATACTTTGAATAGTTTGCATAAAGATTTGCATACCTTCACAACCTGCTTGCATTCCCAAGCATTTGCAGACCTGATATTGGCCAACTTTCTTCCTAGCCAGAGTTGAGTGCAGGAAAGAAGTCTGGTCAGCACAAGAGAGCTGGACTTGGGCCTGATCTTCACATCCCTATCCAAATGTGCCCAAACAAGCCAGGATTTAAGCCAGCTTTAAATCAGGTCATCTTTTTGGCTTACAAATTCTGATTAGTATGGGCATACATAAACTTAATTTTGGGTTCAGATATCACACAAAGTTTCCTTTCATGGCTTGTGCAAAGCAGCTGCAAATAACACAATGTTTGATTGTATCATAGGCTATTAAATTGAAATTCCTGGCTTAAAGGCACATGTGAATGCAGCCAACAACTTGAAGTTAATAAATACAGTATTGTAGAAATATGACTTACTGTACCATTGGAAACAGTTGCAATTCAGTCCTTTCTGTTTTCCTCTCCACTGTTTTTTCTTTTAGCTGTTTGCCTTGCAGGCAGAGCAATTCCGAATGAAGAAAGAGGAACAGCAACAGGAGGAAGAGGAGCAGCTGATACTTCATCACAAGCTTCCTTCCTATGTGGCTAACATGGACCATCTGGGGGACTCAGAGCTGTGAGTCTGTATTGGAGAAGCTGCATGAGTGAATGGCAGTGGTGGATCTTAGCACTTTTACAGTTCTTTGTGTGGTGGTAAACTTGAACAGGCAACTTCAGAGGGGTGTACATTCAGAAAGCTTGACCAAAACATGAGAGCAATTGCGTGTCTTCCTCCACACCTCTGCTCCCTGGCCACGCCAGGTTCCTGCAGAATTGATTAGTAGGCATTGCTTTTTAAAATACTCCCACTGAAGTCACTCCATGAGAACTTTGTATTTATGCATTGTGGCCCATTAAATAAATGTGGATTGGGTTTCAGGACTCTGTGTATAAAAGTAGAAAGTCTCAGTCATGGCCCTGGTGAGCATCAGGCAACTCACTAAAATCATAGACCTCTCTTAGTGGTTTTATTGGCCTCCTGGGAACAGCCAGCTGTATATGTGGCTATGCACTGAGGTTTGTGCAGACTCTGCCCCCTTGTGACTGGCTGTTTATAACAGGAGCAACCATTCTTATAAGGTAGCTTCTTGCTAACCTCTGGCAAATTGTGCAGAAATGGAAGTTCACTACATTATGGTCTATTTTACTTCAGGCGCTCCAGTCTTGAACTGGGAAAGGTCCAAATATCCCAACTGTTACCATTGTGATGCAAAACATGATAATTGCTCTCTGAGCCATGAATTCTTGAGCATCTGCTTCCATTGCCATTCCTGAGCTCAGAGGATAAGATTGCAGCCCCAAAAGTATAAATGGCTTAGTTGTAAATATGCAAAATTGAGAATATACCTAGGATTAGAGAGAACTCCCAGCTGTTGCATCCTATGCTACCTAAGTGCATGTGTGTGTGTGCCATGAAAAGTTGGAAAAATAAAGTTGAAACTAAAATATGAAAATTTCAGCAAATGTAAGTATTTGGACAGAAATAGACTCATGTAGTCACAATGAGGAAGGGTATCACCATATTTGGATACTTGAAGCATTTTAAATAGCACTGAAAATATTAATCTCTTAAACAGTGTGAGAACAGTCTGTAGCAAGACATTTTGATCACAGTCCTTGGAGGAGAAGGCCCAACAGGGAAACCGTGAAGGAGGGGCCAGATGAAAAGTATGGCAGCAGTGGGATACTTGCCTTCTGGTATCTCTTAACTAAATTAGAGTACCAGAAAAATGCAAGCAGTGAATCATATGATTCTTTCATAAAAATGCCAGCTGCCTTGAAGTGCAAAATGCATTTTGTGTTTGATTGTTGCACATATGAATTGTCATTCCCTAATTATGTAGATTATCTTACATATAAGAAGCTTCATGACACATATTTAGGGTGAGTTAACCTTGTCTTAAAAAAGCATTTTACTCATTCCAGCAGAGATGGTCTTTCATAGAATGTGTTTCTGCACCCTGCCCATCCAGTTTCTTAAAATCTCAGCTTGATCCATTTCAGATGTCTGCTTCATTGCAGTTCCCCAGAAAGTTCAATCTCCAGAAGCTTGAATCAAAATGAACTTTTAAAAAAAAAAATCCTCATGATGCATGTATCAATTGGCTTAGGTCAGGCATGTCCAAAGTCCGGCCCGGGGGCCAATTGTAGCCCGTTTTCAAATTTCGAGCGGCCCGCAGCCTCTTCTCCCCACCGGCTCAGCCTGTCACTCATCCCCACCGGCCGGCATTTTTCCCTTCACCGCACAGCGGTTCCCACAGCTGTCCCCTGCTGCCTCCTGCTTCTTCAAGGCTGGTGGTTATATTTCACCAGAAGATGGCAGTAGACCTGAGTCAGCACTCTCCCGCGTGACCCTTGTGACACAAGGCTTGAGTGCCCATTTCTAAAATGGTGACTGTAACTAAAAAAAGGAAAGCTGACAGCGAGGGCCACTGCTTCCAGGACAAGTAGAAATTGGAGTATTTTTTCACTGAAATACGAAACAACTCTGTCTGCCTAATTTGCCAAGAGACTGTGGCTGTTTTCAAGGAATTCAATATCAAGAGGCACTACCAGACAAAACATGCTAACTACAATGAGCGAACTGGGAACGAACGCAGCGAAAAATTGAAGGAACTGGAAGCTGCTTTAACGGCACAGCAGCGCTTTTTCACAAGAGCCCGTGGGTCAAATGAAAATGCCACAAAGGTGAGCTACAAGGTGGCAACGCTGGTTGCCAAGCACTGCAAACCTTTTACTGAGGGTGAATTTATTAAAGACTGCGCGATGAAAATGGTGGAGAAAATTTGTCCTGAGAAGAAGCAAGAGTTTGCCAATGTTTGCCTGGCTCATAACACTGTGGTACGGAGAATTGAAGACGTTTCATCTGATATTAAGAGACAGAGGCAAAAGGAGTGGAGTTTGACTTTTTTTCGTTAGCCTGCGACGAAAGCACGGATGCATCTGACACCGCTCAGTTATTGATTTTTTTGAGAGGAGTGGACAATGACATGAACATGAGTGAAGAGCTGCTTGACCTCCAGAGCCTTAAGGACCAAACAAGAGGAACAGATTTATTGGTTTCTGTTTGTTCCGCTGTAGATGACATGAAACTACTGTGGAATAAAGTCACTGGGATTATTACGGATGGCACACCTGCCATGGCTGGCGAGCGAAGTTACAGACTATCAACCCTAGTCTGTAACAAAGTCAGCGAAGAAGGAGGCAAAGCTATAAAACTCCACTGTACTATTCACCAACAAGTTCTCTGTGCCAAACATCTGAAATATGATCATGTTATGAAACCGGTGATGAAGGCTATTAATTATATTCACTCCAAAGCCCTGTGCCACCGCCAGTTTCAACAGTTTCTACTCGACATCCAGGCCGAATACGGAAATGTTGTGTATCACAACGAGGTAGGATGGCTCAGTCGGGGGTCTGCACTGCAGCGCTTCTACTCTCTTAGGGAGGAAATCGGACAATTCTTAGCAAAAAAGGGACAACCCATGCCAGAGCTATCTGATCCTGTTTGGCTGGCTGATTTTGGATTTTTAGTTGACATAACACGGCATCTGAATGTGCTGAACACAAGCCTTCAGGGGCAAAATGCAGTGGTAAGCCAACTGTATTCACATATCAAAGCCTTTGGGACCAAGCTGCTACTTTTCCAAAGGCACCTGTCACAAACACAGCCCAATACCACACATTTCCCTTCGCTGCAGGAAATAATGACCAGTTTTACACAGAACAATATCAGTGTGCAAATAAGGAGGTATGAAGCAGACATCTCATCTGTGGCTGAGGAGTTTCAACAGTGCTTTCGGATTTTGCAGCTATTGAAAAGGAGATCATGCTTTTTTCAGCTCCTTTCTCTGTGTACCCTGATGACGCTCCAGACCACCTGCAGCTGGAGCTCATTGAGTTGCAGTGTGACGCCGAGTGTCGCAGTTGGCACCAGCAGCTCCCTCTTGTCAACTTTTACCACCAGCTGGATAAAAACAGGTTCCAAGAGATTAGAACATTTGCTAAGAAAATGCTGAGCTTGTGTGGTTCGACATACTTGTGCGAGAAGACATTCTTGGTTATGAACATTAACAAGAACCGCGTGAGGACGAGACTAAGTGACTTTCACCTGCGTGACATCTTGCGCATCAAAACCACTGTTTTTGAGCCAGACCTGGCCTATATAATGCAGTCGAGATCTCAGTATCACCCTTCACATTAGTGCAGTTAAGTTATTTGTTTAGTCTTTCATAAAATAGCTCATTTGCATTTAATATTAATAGTTCAAAGAATGTCAGGCTGAATGGTCGGCCCCCACACATTTTCACCTCACCAAATCTGGCCCTCCTTGCAAAAAGTTTGGACACCCCTGGCTTAGGTAGTGCCAGGATGTTTGAGTTAAGAGCAATAAGTGTTTGTGAATGGCCACTATTAATAATGAGGTTGTCCTTGTCAATACTTCTTGCATTTAATTTCACCTCTGAAGTCAATATTTATATTATACCATTGATTCTTCTAGCTTGGGTTTGGGGTCTGTGTCTAATGTAGAGCTTTTGGGTTGACTGTCTTTAATTTCCTCTTGCCCTCAGTGACATGACATGCAGCCAAAGAAGCGCTGCTCACTTTCTCCAGGCCCGAGGAGGGTTCCTGTCATCTCTCCTGTCTCAAGGTAAAAAGGGCCCCTCTAGAGTGACACAGGCACCAGGAACCATGTCGGGGCAGACGGGTATGGCATCTCTGGGCAGGAAAGAGCAGTCAACCCACCAGGTGAGGAGAAGAAGAGTGTGTGTATGTGGCAGTTATTCTGATGATAGGAAAATACTGCTGTTCCTCTTCAATCATTTAACTTTCATAATTAGAACTAGGCTGAGAACCTGCTGCGTTGGCCTGCCTGTACAGGCTGTCTGCAGAGTGATGCTGCTATCTGGTATACTTGCCAACTGTCCTTTGGAGCCAGAGATTGGTTGCAATTAATTCTTGTTAGCTTCTTGCACACCTTCACTTTGGCTGCTACATGGCTGCCTAAGTTATCATTCAACCAACATCCCCTTATTGCTAACGTTTTGGTGCAGCAGCCCAGGAAACCACCAAGAGCTTTGCAGACCCTCAGTTCAGTTCATACAAGTCTCGGTTTATATATGTGACATGGGATGTTCTGCATTTCTCTTTCCAGGTTTTTTTGCTATTTCTGGGAAGGTGCTAGTCAGGGCAGGTTAATGGAAGAGAGACACAATAATGTGAAAGTCCTTTCACATCTTCAAAGGATGCTCCCAGACTTTTATGTACCAGATCTGCTAGCTTAGGCATGGGATCTTGGAGGGCCAAAATTTGACAAGTCTTCTCCTTGCCTTCTAGACCACCAAAGGAAAGGAAGTGGCATCTGGCTGCAAGGAACCAAAAAGTCACTTCAGTGGCCTGGTAGCAACAGAGACCAGTTCAGTCCAGCAGCGTCAGCGGCGCCTGCAGGAACACGGAAAGGAACGGAAAGAGCTTTTGTCTAAAACAGTTTCCCAGGTATGAGGCTTGGGTTTGAGATGGAGTAGATTGTAATGAGTTTTTGCCATATTTCATATTTCGACTATGGGTTTTTGCTGTACTTAAGAGTTACATTAGAACTGCATATGGATGGATCTGAAATCCAAAAATATGTTGTGGGCCAGGCTTCCTAGGCTTTCAGTTGCCTATTTCTAATACCGAAGAAGTGGCAGGGAAGACGATCATTGCTGCTTCTGCCTGGAAGCCTCTTTCCTCTTTGAATGGAATGACCTATATATTCTGGGGTACTTTCACATACAGTCAGTCTTCTAATTGTATTGGCTGTGCATAAACAGGCAACAAACTGATCTTTCTGCATGTAAATAGCTTGGATCTGGGAAAGCAGCACAATCTCTACCAACCTCTAGAAAGCAGCACAGCCTGTAGAAACAAAACTCCCTTCAAACTGGCTAGCTTTATGAAACCTTAGAGCCTGAAGAATAATGTCTTAATAGGACTTTCCTTTTCTTCCTCAAGGATGATTTTTCTGTGAGAGTAGGATAAAAATAATCAATCGAGAATACATGCCATTTGCCTGATCGCACTTGAGTTGCTGGTGTGATACAATAGTCTGGCCTTGATTACCTAAAATCTCTTTGCTCATTTAGTAGGTTGAGGTGGACATGAGCAACTTGACTGATTCTCCTGGCTTGCTGTACTATATGCAGGGTCCTTCTCTTGGTTTAGGCACAGACTGTTGAGCGGAAGCTGGAGACGGGTAGCACTGAAACAGACCCACCTCCTGAACTGCATGCAGAGCAAGCAGAAACCTTAACCAAAGCTTTTGGGTCTAGCACAGAGCCTGGAGGCATCAGGCAGGAGCAGCCGTTCATTGTCTTGAGCCAGGAAGAATATGGAGAACACCACTCCTCCATCATGCATTGTCGGTAAGGGCTGTTTCCTCTTCCAGGAGGTGTGATTGATGAAGGGAGAGCTGCTGCTGTTCAGTGGATCAGGTACTGAACTTGAATTTGTGGAAATTGAGCTCAGCTATGGACTTGAGAATACCAGTAGCTCCTCCTTTGTGAAGTGCGAGTGATGCCTGACTTCACAGGAATAGCAAAAAGAGACCTGTGGCACCTTAAAGACTAACACATTTATTATGGCATTAGTCAGATTTGTCCAGACTGGTGCCCTGCAGTTATTAATGGGCTTCAGCTCCCATCAGCTTCGGCTAGCAAGCCCGGTGATCAGAAATGCTGGGAGTGGTAATCCTAAACATCTGGAGGGCACTAGGTTGGAGAAGGCTGGTATAAGCTCTCATGAGGTGAACTGAAGTCAAAAATACTTATGACAGAATAAATGTGTCGTTCTTTAAAGTGCCACAAGAATCCTTGGTTTTGCTGCTACATGCCAATATGGCTGCTCCTCTAAAAATTAAGAACACAGGAATCTTGTTAGGAAGATTATAGCAGTTTCTGCATTTTAAAAGTTCTATGTCTATGGTAGTGCTACTGTCATCTCAGATGGGTGTACTGAGTGTACAGTGATCAAATGGCAGAAGAAATGCCAGCTATGCGTGTTGGAAGGACAACCGAACAGCTTCCTTCTGTGTTTAGGGTCGACTGCTCTGGTCGCAGAGTGGCTAGTTTGGATGTGGATGGAGTCATCAAAGTCTGGTCGTTCAATTCCATCATGCAGACAAAAGCTTCTTCCATTTCCAAGTCTCCCCTGCTCTCCCTAGAATGGGCAACCAAGAGGGACAGACTGGTGAGTAGCTGGGATGGTTGTGGAGGTGAATATCTAGAATTGTCGTTGGCGTAGCCACTGGCTGCCCTTGCTCCTCAAGCAGGCACAAGATTGCTGCTCAATCCAGATATGTTGGAGTACAATTCCAGCCATCCCTAGTCAGCATGTCAATTTACCATGCAGAAATAGAATCTTGTTCCTTTTTTGTCTTGGTCATCTCAGGACCTAAACTCTGCCATTTGATGTTTGTTGTAGCTGAAGTGAGTACCGTTTCCTTTTTCCTTCTCACCTGCTCCCCATTCCCACATTTTGTATTTGAAGTGTATGTTTACTTTCAATCTGAGCCATTGTTATAGCTTGTGGCATATCAGTATCAGAGCAGGCTATAACGGATGAAGGCTTTAATCAAAAGGTTGAAGAAGAGCCATCTGCTTATTTGAAGTACATTAGGAAGGAGACTAAATGGGCAAGTTTGCACTAGGGCAGATTCACCAGTAGAGTTAAACCATGTCTTTTTTAAACTGTGGCTACACCAGGCTTTTGCATTTCCCCACTCTCTGTTTTTCCGTCTTTGGTGCTGGTTCACAGTTGTTGCTAGGAAGCGGAGTTGGGACTGTTCGTCTCTATGATACTGAAGCCAAGAAGAATCTCTGTGAAATCAGCATCGATGAAGACATGCCCAGGTAAGCTTCCTGAACTTGGCCTCCTTCTCTTTGCCTGTGGTGAATATAAAGCAGTCATTTACTATCTTACTCTCACTTGCATGACATGGTTTGTGATTGTCCCTGGAGACTGCATTTGTTTGTTTATCGCATTTGTATGCAGCCCTATAGCCAGAGGCTCTCTGTCCGAGGCTCAGTATGGCCTCTTAAGACAATGATCCACTTTTGAATTATTTTGAAAAATTATTTTTATAATAATTTCTTGTGAGCCTATTTTCATCTTTGTTTGTGGGCATTGTACGCAATTGCAGGGTAACCTCCAGGTACATGTCACCTTGTTCTTGCTGGATTGAGGCTATTTTATGCTTTGATTTTCCTTCACAGAGAAAATATTTGTGATGGGAGAAGCATATGCACTGAATTCCATAATTTTGATTACAGATCTTTGGCAAGTGTCCCAGCCTTCCTCCTAGCCTTGGAGGAGCAGCAATTGTATGGTGATTTTCCAAGTTTAAGAGAAAGGCTGCAGTGGTTGCCAAGGCTCCTAGATTACCTCAGGGTTGCAGGACCAAGTCAGCAAGGTCCCACTCTCCTTTGTGGTTAGGACATAGGGTTGGAGAGAGGACCAGAGGGTTGTTCCTTAGCTCAGTTGTGAGCAGAAGTAAATGCCTGGATGCTTTGGCCTTCAGCTTCCAGAAACCCTTGTCAGCATGACCAATGGCCAGGAATGCTCTAGGTCAGTGGTGGTGAACCTATAGACAGAGCCCTCTCTGTTGGCACGCGAGCCAAGTTGCCCCAGCCTCGCCCCAGCAGCCGAGCATCGGATAACAGCGTACATAGGGGCCATGTGCATGCTCAGAAAGGAGTAGTGGTGCCAGGCAATGATGTCACAAGCCGTGACTCATTACCTGTGACTCATCCAAGCTTTCGCATGGCCAGTCAGTGCAATATATATACAGGGTGTTTCATAAAGTATGCAGTTTTTAAAAATGCAATAAGTCAGCCAAAATCGAAATAAAATTCAAAATTTTTATTTAATTTCATTCAACATATACTTTGATTTAATAATGAAAAATGATATTGAGCATATGTTCACCTCCACTTTCTCTGCAGACAGTCATCCGATCGTTGATTAACGATAACTCTTTTGCAGACATCCCTGTCGATTTCGCCGATTACCCATACCGTTTACCCATACCGTTACCATACCGTTTTGACCGGGCAATTTTCTGGTTGCAACTGACCCAGATTCTTTGAATTTCTGTACTTGCACGAAGTTTCTGTAGATTGTGCGAAGTTTATGGACAGTCTCTGTGTAGCACTCCCCATTTTTGTAATGAGTTTTCACAATAAGAATGCGTTGCTCGATACTGAACTGCTCCATGGCTACTAAATGGAAAAACAACAAATGGTCTTCTAATTGGAGTGATAATAGATAACAAAAATGATAGGAACAGTGCTGACAATCTTCAGACAAAAAAATTTAAAAACTGCATACTTTATGAAACACCATTTGCTTGAACTGGCTGTGGGGTGTTTTTTCTAAACTAAACCCTCAGTTTTCAGGTTTTATTGCAGTGTTGGCACTTGGTGATAAAAAAGTGGGTTTTGGGTTGCAGTTTGGGCACTCGGTCTCTAAAAGGTTCACCATCACTGAGTTAGGGTTAGAAAAATGAGATGTCCTGGTATGATTTTGATGGCTGGAATGTGTTTAGAATGGGCAGAAATGTTGAGATGTGCAGAAAAAGCTACTCAAGGCTTTTTCAAAATTGTTCCATTTTCAATGGAACTTTAGCCCTGTATTAGGGTTAGGGGTGTACACCAGGGTAGGGTTAGGGTTAGAAGAATGTGGTGTTCTGGCATGATTTCGATGGTTGGAATGTGTTTAGAATGGGCAGAAATGATGGACTGTGCAGAAAAAGCTACTCAAGGAAGGCTTTTTCAAAATCGTCCTATTTTCAATGGAACTTTAGTCCTATTTTAGGTTGAATTCTTTTTTTTTTTTTAGGTTGAAATTTTTTATTTAAATAAAACCATACTACAAAAGGGTTAGGGGAGTGCACCAAGGTAGGGTTAGGGCAGTGGTGGCAAATCCATGGCACGCGTGCCACAGTGGGCAAACAGAGCCCTCTCTGTCACCATGCGAGTCAAGTTGCCCCAGCATCACCCCAGCAGCCGAGCATTGGATAACAGCGCAGATAGAGGCCATGCGCATGCTTGGAAAGGCATAGCGGGACCAGGCAGTGATGTCACATGCCACCACTCATTAGCTGTGACTCGTCTGAGCTTTCGCATGGCCTGTCAGTGCGCTGCCAAGGATATATATATATTTGCTTGGACTGACTGTGAGGTGTTTTTTCTAAACTAAACTCTCAGTTTTCAGGTTTTATTGCAGTGTTGGCACTTTGTGATAAATAAATGGGTTTTGGGTTCCAGTTTGGGCACTTAGTCTCTAAAAGGTTTGCCATCACTGCTATAGGTTGTAGTCCAGAATACCAGGAGATCTTTTTCCTACGTCTATCATAGTCCATGGAGATACAGCATGAGGTCAGTGACAAGGGGAGGAGCTAGATTTGGCCACTACAGTTTTTGGCTTGGTTGCATGTAGACTATAGCATAGAGATCAGGCAGCCTTTTTTTCTTTTTTTAGCATGTTACTTCTTACATAGACCTGATTCATGCTGAAGATGACCCAGAATATGGCTTTAGCATGGGTTGTTACTGAATTATGGGCTGTAGTTATGTGAAAATCCTGCATTATGGTTTAACCATGGGATGTTAACCATAACAACGCAGACTTCATATCCCAACAGCAAACCATGGGTTCACTGCTTAGGTAGTTTATGATTTAACCTATAAATCATACTGTAACATTCACATGTAACAATGCATGTTTCAACAACAACCCATTCAACAATTCAGGTATAATCTGAATTGCTATATGCAGACTAAGTGGTATGGTAAAAATGTTAAATGTAGCCATGCAAAGCATGTTTAGGATCTTCTAGAGTTCTTCCAAGTTGCCCTGAATCTTGGAAAATTATTTCATAGCCCTAGATAATTGGCAAATCATGGGTACAAGGAAAGGAGATCTTCTCTCAGGGCTGACTGGAGTAACTGGCTACAATTGTGGGATTATAGCTGTGCTGGTTTTCAGTTGCTGCTCTAACCAAGCATGGTAGCTGCTTGGTGTTGATCCAAACAGATTTCTTCTCTACCTTCTTCCCAGAACAAGCAGGAATTCTGACCTGGCAATTTTATCTTCTGCTTGTTCCAAGCAAGAGATGACAAAAAGAAATGAAATAATATGGAGTATTGTACAACTGCACCTTCCCTTCTAGGAGTAGCTGGAGAGTGAGGGGCTTTGACATCTATATCTCCAAAGTTGCTTTTGTTGTAGGCTTGGGAGGATATATAAGCTACCAGATGTTTTCTTGATTTCAGGGGTTGAAATCTAACAGATTTCATTAAACTGAAGGCATATACTATGAGTAAAACTAACCATGGATTGATGTTCTGTAAACTGCCGGGAGAGCTTCTATTTGGCAGGATAGAAATGAAATAAATGAGAATAGTGATTACATAGGCAAGAATACTTGACTAATTTTGCCCATTTTTATCTTATTTAACCATGCCTGTCAGTAGTTGATTTTGCTCTCTTGTGCTCCTCGCTCAAAAGATGAGAGATGCCCCCATGTCCTCAGGTTAGAGGAAAAGACAATAAGAGAGGGGAGCAGCTTATACTTTCCAACATTAGAAGAGTCTTGTTAGGATAGAGAGCATAGAGATATGCACGAGTGTGGAGTGATGTGGCTTAACAGAACTATGATTAAGGCTTGAAATGGACCTCTGGGCTTCCTGTGCAGAGAGCCAAAGCTGAACCATGCTTTTGTGTTTCAGGATCCTCTCTCTTGCGTGCAGTCCAAGTGGTGCTTCTTTCGTCTGTTCTGCTGCAGCATCTAGTCTTGTAAACCAGCTAGATTGCACAGCTCTGGATTCTGGAGGGAAAAGCATCAATCAAGTTCCTGGCAAGCTTCTTTTATGGGACACAAAAAACATGAAGCAGCAGGTAGGGTTGTGTGTTCATACTATTGGAGCCTAGGTTTTAAGAACAAAGGAGAGTGTTTTAATATTAATTTATAGCTCTGTAAGAAACTACTAGCTGACGGTTTGGTTCATACAATGAAATAAATCATGCTCAACCCATACTTAGGGTTAGGTGTAGGTTGTCGTTGAAGCATAGGTTATTGGGTTGTCTGAACCAACTGCAGTAACACATCATGGTTTGTTGTAGGGTTGTGAACTGTGGGTTGTTTGTGACTAACAAACCACAGTTTGCTAGCATGGTTGGGTTCACAGATAGAACACAACCCATGTTACTTACAGTCAATCATACTCAACCTTACATATGGGTTGAATGCATTGTGGCATTGTATGAATCCAGCCATTGACACAGATACCCAGAAACCTTTGCATTTAGTCTGTCTGTGTGTCTACTGTGTTTATTTTCTTGAAGGACTCCATGAAATACTCCATTTCCATGGTACTGAGATCTGTTAGTTTTTTAAATGGTTGGATATTGCATTCCAGATGTTTTAATGTTGTTTGGTGCCCCAAATGAGCAAATCAGTGAATGTTCTCTGTTGCCACCTCCATATGGGTGTGATCCTGCATTCCTCATTGGTCCTGGGGGGTCAGCGGGGTCAGACTGCTGTGGCAGAAGGGCCTTTGTTTAACTTTACCTGGTTCACTGGTTGTGTCTGGTGAATACAGACTTGTAACTATAGACATATGCCTTGGTCACTTCCAGATTAGACAATTGCAATTTGTTCTTCACAGGCTGCTCTTAAAGATGGTTTGAGAACCGCGGCTAGTGCAAAATGCAGCAGCCAGGAAACTTCTGGGCAGGCATCCTATTGCACTGATCTTGCATCAGCTGCACTGACTGCTGCTTTATTTCTGGGTCCACTTCAAAGTAGTGGTTCTTACCAATAAAGCCTAACAACTTGGAGCTAGGATATTTGCAAGACTGCGTCCTCTCATTTGAACATTGTTAGTAGATCATACGTCACACTGATGTTCTAATAACAAAAGAGGAGGATATGTGACCAGTTGGAAACATTTTTCCCTGCTTGACTTTAAGTAGGTTAATGATACTGAACATTTCACCATCTCTGCATTCTGTTTTTGTTTTTTCAACTGTTTTTGTTTTTTGTCTCTAATTTTGTAGAAATACTTAAAACGTGTTTTTGATTATTTTTATAGATTTTATTGTAAACTGCTTTGGGGATCTTAAGATTGAAAGCTGCTCTTTACAGAATGGACTTCTCTACATGATGCATTTAATTTGTTTACTGAGACTTCTTCCATTTTCTTCATGGGAGGAAGAGAGCATCCTTTATAGAGCCCCTCTCCTTTGCTTTTCTCCGCTTGTCTGTATATATTCTAATATCCAACCACAAGGTGGCACGATGGTGTAACTGCAATTGCAATAATACATGAAGACCTTCTTTCTGGGCTTGTATTATTGTTGAAATTTAATAACTGACTTTTAAAAAGATCTATGAAAATGACTGGAAAACATTGGAGAGGCCTCAAAGGATGATGAGATCATGTCAGGGACCCACAAATTGCCATGGGTGAGGGATCATGAGTACAAAATAAGTGTTTTGTGTGCAGAAGTCCATTGTCTGCAATCTCAGGCTGAAATGTTTGACTTCTTCTGAAATGTTTTCAGGAGTGCTTGGAAAACTGATTAATATTTGTGTTCATTTCCCCAGTTTCTGTCCTGGTCTTTTGATTGATTTTCCTCTGCTGGTGCCTGTGCTCATCTTCCCCCAATAGAAGGCCTCACTCTCCTTCCCTGGTGGTTTGGCCCTAATCCCTCCTCCCAGTTCTCTTGCTGCTTTGTTGTGATGCTGCTGGAATCCATTCTGTTTGCCCGTTGCCTGTTTACCTTCTATTTGCATTCCAGAGTGGCAGACTTGCCAGCTTGAGGTAGCCACTGGCATATGGAAAAATAATTACCCACAGAGCACTTTTTATTTTATTTATTTATTTTTCGATTTATATCCTGCCTTTTTTCCTACAAAGGGCTCAAGGCAGCTTACATCTCCTCCTCCATCTTATCCTCACAACAACAACCCTGTGAGGTAGGTTGGGCTGAGAGTCTGTGACTGGCCCAGAGTCACCCAGTTGGCTCCATGGCTGAGTGGGGACTAGAACCCAGGTCATCTGAGTCCCAGTCCCATGCTCTTAACCACTACGCCACACTGGCTCTCACTTTGCAACCAAGTAGTGGGCCATCATGTGGAGGCATACCTGAATAAAGTTATGCCTCTTTCCCAAGAATTTACGAGTTCCCCTCTAACCAAAAGTTATCTTTCATCTGTTCAGTGGGAGAACAGTGCTCATCCTTCGGTGGTGGGAAGCAGAAATTCTGAGAAACCTCTGAAGGAAGTGATGGGATGGCTTGGTTCAGTGCCCTGGAATCCCTGTGGTGCAGGACTGCGTAGGAAAGGGGAACTCCATATGATAGGGATCATCTGACATTTGATCAAGCAACCTGACTCCTTGGAATAATGGTTCCCTTTTGGGTCTATCATACAGTTTTTAGAGGAAAGGATTCATAATTAAGCTCTCAGTTTGTTGTTTTCTTTGCTGTTTCAGCTCCAGTTTTCTCTTGAACCTGAACCCATTGCTATAAACTGCACAGCATTTAACCACAATGGAAATCTACTGGTTACAGGAGCAGCAGATGGCATAATCCGCCTCTTTGGTAGGTTGCATTGACTACAGGTTTCATTCCAATAGTATCATTAATTTTAGGAATGAATGTTAATTTTATTTTTTGGCTGTGGCTGCAGTTTTTACAAGACAAAGCCTGAGTTGGTGCAGTTGCACCATTTGGAAGACAATAAATGCAGTTCCATTGATGCAGTCATGGGGGAGAATTGCTAACCTTAGAGGCTTTTCCATGCTTTTCCCGTAGAGCAGCCTTCCCCAGTGTGGTGCCCTGACTGAAACTCCTCTCTGGCCAGCAACAATGAGAGTTGTGGTCCAAAACATCTGGTGGAGTCCAAGTGGGAAAGGCAGCATGAGGTTTTTAAAAAATAAGTCATACACAGCCTCTTTCCTTCCTCTTTCAGATATGCAGCAGCATGAATGTGCCATGAGCTGGAAGGCTCATGATGGGGAGGTATATTCTGTTGAATTCAGCTATGATGAGAATGCCGTTTACAGTATTGGAGAAGATGAGAAGGTACACTGCAGAGCAGGGATAGAGAATAGGTGGTTCTCCAGATACTGGGCTGCAGTTCCCACCATCCCTTACCATTGGTGGACCCTCACTAGGCCTGGTGGTAGTAGCAGTCCAGCAATACTGAAAGGTACACATGTTCCTCATCACTGCTGTAGAGGAAGATGGTGGCCAGATTCTTAGGATTGAATCACTGAAGTATAATTTGTATTTATTTAATAATGGCATGTATGTACTGTTGGGTGGAAGGGTGGGTGGGCACATGGCTGTTGAAGCAGCTTACAATTAGTAATAATCATAATATTGGTAACTACATATTCAACTTAAAAATATTAACATCAGTTATAATTCAACGTTTAGTTAAATAAGAGAGATGCTCAGCAGAAAGGGCCTGGTGGCATGCTGTGACTGCTCACTTGCAAAGTGGTGGTCCAGCGAGGCCACCAATCCTTTTGGAAAGCAGCTGATGTTTTGAAGGAGGCTATTTCCTGACTGTGCCTCTTCTGGTTCTGTCAACTGTTACTCTTGTCTTTGTAGTTACTAGTGACCTCACAGAGCAGATTAAGAGGCATGTGTGCTTCTTGGTGTCTCTAACTAGCATGTTTTGTGTCCCTAGTTTATTCAGTGGAATATTCATAAAAGTGGCTCGAAAGTATCTGAATACGCTCTGCCCAGAGATGCCACAGGCCCCTTTGTGCTGTCTGGCTACAGTGGATATAAGCAAGTCCAGTTCCCACGTGGAAGGCTTTTTGCGTTTGACTCAGAGGGAAACTACATGCTGACCTGTTCTTCCACTGGGGGTGTCATTTACAAGGTATGTCTGCTGGGTGTGATAGCTCTGTGCTGCCTCTAAGATCAGAGGCAAAGCAGCTGTGCTGCCTGGGAATGATAGGTGCAACATGTCTGAAGGGCACCTGGTTGGGGAAGGCTGCCCTTAAACAATCAGGCCAAGATCCTCATAGTCCATATTTTTTAGAGACAGGAATGCAAGCCAAGGTCTGCAATCATAAACGCACTTAATTCTGCATGATTTTCTTCTGAGAAAAGACATGTGGCATCTCACGATGTGCCTCTGAATTTACTGCTGCTACCCTTTGAGATATGCTTGCACATTTCCTAGTGGTAACGTTTTAAAGTGCATTTATCTCACTGTGAGAACTCTCTGGCATAGTTACAGGAGAGGAACATACTGTCATTATGAAAGACTCTTTCATTGGAGCAAAGTAGGGTTAGGAAAAACCCTTTTGGAATCTGCCCCTCTAGCATCTAGCAGATTTCCTCTTGGGCTTAGCCTGGTCCTGCAAAGTGAGCCAAGCTAAAAGGACTCTGCAAATGTTTGCAGAGCCCCATTTCCTCAAGTGGCAGTTGAGGGTAAACACTGGGAGAGAGGTGAGCATTTCTCTCTTGCCCTGCTTTGTGAGGATGTGTCAAATGCACTGGGCAGGTCCTTACACAAAGAGAAGCCATCCTTTGCAGAAAGGGGCTGTCCACGGCCTCTCCTCAGTTTGGTTGCTTGGTTTCTTAGGGGAGAGCAGTACATTTTTTAAAAGGGCCACCATAGACAACCCCTCCTAGGTACTGTGAGGATTCCTTGGGGTGGCAAGATGTGACTATCCTAAATGGGGATAACACAAGTTGCCTGAATGGCAGCTTTCATGATCTCAGTAAATATGCTTTAAAAATAAAAAGACAAGCCTTGTGAGACTGAAATGGCTCTCCACACTCTGGGGATGCTCTTGCCAGCCATTCCCCAAGGGCCACTCTGGCACTTTGGGGCATTTGGCAGAGGGAGTTACCCAGGAGCTGCTTGGCTAGAGCAGCAAGCCTTCTGCCACTTTTGTCAAGCAGCTCTGCAGAGTTTTGAGGTACACCATGGCCTATTTTGAAATCCAGGTTCAGATGACACACTAGGCCACAGAAGATTAAGCAAACCCTAAAAGACGCCCTGGATTGCTTGGATGATTTCATAGCCTCAAAGAAGTCATCCCACAGGAAGTGTGCTGGGTTCAGACAGCATGCTGAGCCATGGTGTGTGAACCCAGTTAGTGTATTGGCAGTCAAAAACGCACACCAAGTCCACTTACATCGACTGTGTGTTAACTTCCAGCAAGCTGGTCTTCAGGAGAGGGATGTTTTGCTAGGCAAACTCCATCTCCCTGAACGGAAGCTATCCTACTTAAAAACAAGGCTTGGTTATACAAGCCTTCTAGAGTTCAGGTTCAAGCAATTTCTGTCTCAATTACCTGCCAAGTTTCCATTTGTGTCTGTCCTTTTTTCTCTTTCAGCTGAGCAGCCATGACAAAATACTGGAAAGCTGCCTGTCCCTGGGAGGGCACAGGGCCCCTGTCGTCACTGTGGACTGGTGTACAGCTATGGACTGTGGAACCTGCCTCACAGCCTCCATGGACGGGAAGATCAAACTAACTACTTTACTTGCACATAAGTCTTAAATGGAGCTCTGCTGTTCAGGAAGCACAAGAAGTGAACTATTTTTTTCAAGGTGTGGGTGCATGGGAGGGTGGGGAGATCAGTATTAACTATTTAGATCCAAGCTACTGTGGGGAAGAGGAGTGTCTCAGCTATCTGTCCTAATGTCACCTTCTCCTCTAGGTTAGGTTCAACAGTTTTTGAAGCTGATGCCAAACTACTCTCGGTTAGGAGTTCCAGTTACAGCTTTTGCTTTAAATTGTGCTCTTAGCAGGCATGCACTGATCACCAAGCTCCTTCCAATGAGGACCAAGCCCTGACTTTGAGTGTGGGTGAGTGTGTGTGTGTGTGTGTGTGTGTGTGTGTGTCCCATGGGCCCACAATAGCACATGGCTATAAGCCTTCAGGATTTGTGCCAAGGTGAGATAATAGACTTACAATTGTTCCAGCAGGAAAAAAAATGCCTATGTAAACCCTAACAGTATTCTGTGTCGACACCTACATTTCTTATTAAAAGAAGTTGTCTGACTGCACTTGCTGGGTTTGTTGCTTCTGTGACTTTAGGACACTTCTGTGCATTGTAATATAAGCCATATTTCATTTTCCACTGTCGAAGGACATCTGAAGACTTGTGGCAACTTGGACTTGGGAGGTGCTATCTTTTTGGATTCCTGATATGAGCATCCCCTGCAAGTGGCAGTGAAAATGCTGCATTACCAAGTAGTCCTGCAAGAGGCAGGTGGAAGAGCTGTTGAAAGGATGAAAAGGAGAAGCAACTACAGGTATCAGAGCTTCCCTCTAAGGTGTGGGTCCTTGGTACATGCCCATCCAGGCTTGCCCTTGGTGCCAGCTCTGTGAAGCTTACCTGGCCAAGATGGCACCTTCCATACAAAAGAAGGTATTTTAAAACCTCCAATTTACAGACGTTCAAAAAACCTGAAACCCACACCACAGTACAACAAGGACTGGGCTTGTTCAGGAGTCACAGAATGCTTGTTGTGGGAGATGTGGAGGTAGAAATGGAATAGCTGCAATCCTGCTTCTCAGCACTCCACATTGCAGCACTTTGTTGCAAGTCCCATTTGGAACCATTTCTATGCTTTAGCACTCTTGCAGTTAACACAGGCTGTAGGTCATCTTGTTGGTTAAAAAGATCATGTATTCAATACTGCATTTTGTTGCATATACACCCAGGTTTGTTGAGATCCTTTTGAAGTATTTTTTTGTTTTTGGTCACACTGATTAACTTGGTGTTACTATAGACTGAGTCTTCTCAGCAAAGAGACCAAGCATCAGTCCCTTTTGGCCACAGATCAGCAGCTCTCCCATTCGTGGACACAATTCCCATCAGCAAGTTGGGAATGGTAACATCAGACTAGGACTGAGCAAATCTCCATTTAAAAGACTAACTTATCATCAGTGATCAAGCTGAAGGGTGATCTTGTGTCCAAAAATCATTAATTTTGAGGGCCCAGATCCAGTGCAAATGTGTAACATAGGTCTCCTCCCATAAATAAATACATGCTTCTAGATAAATCCCTCATCTATAGAAATTACAAGTGGTCCAGATGATATTGGTTTGCACTTGTACCCACCTGCTTTGTGTTTTTACCTTTTTCTTTTGCAGAAAATCTGTTAAGAAAAGATTTAATAGCTGCACAATACTTCCTGAGTGGCAACACCAAGAGCATTTTGTCTGGAAGCATCCCTATTCTAGAATGCTGAGCTAACACTGCTTCTGGCTGGCTTTAGCAAGCCTCTATAGCTGGACAATGCATTTCCACAAATATTCTTAAGCAGAATCCTTCTGCTCCTTTTTTGCCCGTCCCCCACAAAAAAACCCAATGCTACCCCACTAAAGTGGACTCTCTCAGTGACTCTCACCTCAACCTTTATCATCATGAGCTTGTGAAGTGGTGGGGTGAGGGGCCAAGTATCCTTCCTTAAGCATCTTAGAAGAAAAGCAGGGGCACACAATAAATGATTAAGCATTTTGTGCTGGGGAAGCTGTCTTTCACTTTTCCACCTAGTTTCTCAAATAGCAGTATTTACCCCAAATTATTTCTACATGGTCAGAACAAGTGCACTGAAATGAACCAGATCCATGGTGTGTCAGGATAGGTCCATAGAATGGTGGCCAAAGTGCTGGGCTGAGGACCTGGGAGACTGGGTTCTGGTCCTCACTTCGCCATGAAGCTCACTGGAGGATTTTGGAGCAATCACAGGCTCTCCTCCCAACCAACCTCACAGGCGTGCTGTTGTGAGGATAAAATGGAGCTATGTAAGCCACCTTGGGTTCCTCACCAGAGAAGAAAAGGCGGGTTATAAACGAAATGCAATAGCAGCAACAAGAAGTAAGGGGAGACGTGATAGTGTTTCTAATAAGAATGGAATGGAGAAAATAGGGAGACCCTTTTCTCCCTGTCTCAAAGCAGACCCAGACCTAGGGTTATCCTATGAAGCTGATGAGCGACAGACAAGAGAAAGCACTTCTTCAACAACGTATAATTAAATTATGGAATTCACAGCCAGAAGTGGCGATGGCAACAAATCTAAATGGCTTTCAGAAGGGATGGGACCCAGGCACGAAGCGCATCTCGACCCGCCCTCTCTTTCTGCCCTCCCGTTCGCCCCGCAGAGAGGCGCTCGAAACGGGCGAGGCCCGCGCGGCTGCCTTCGAGCGACCCGCGTCCGCCCGGCGAGCTCCCAGCCAATGGTGAGAAGGGCGAGGCGGGGCCGGCTGCTCGCGCAGCGCGGAGGAGGCGCCCGGTGGCGGCCCGGAAAGCGTCGGGGCGCGTCCTGCTTTCTGTTTCTCGTTCTCTCCGGCGTCCGTTGATGCGGGGTAGCTGTTTCGGGTGGGAGGGGGCGAGGTTTGGAGCGGCTGCTTTTACGGATGATGCCAAAGGTCAGTATCTCTTCCTGTCGCTTTTGGCCTTGTGGACGATGAGCGCGCGAGAGCAAGATTCTTGACGTACGCAGCAGGTAAGCAAGTGCCAAGATTGGTTTGGTTTGGTTGGTTTGTAAAATTCTGCGGCTTAGGTGATCCTTGACTTCTTATAAGCGATGTTTGAAGAGTAGCCGATTAGACTGAGGCTATGATCCTAGGTATTGCACTGCTGCATGTGGAAGGGGTCTCACTGTAAAATATCAGGGCCTGGCAAACTGCTCTTGGAAAGTCCACATGTAAAACTTTGTTACGGAACTCAGCCGGTCAGCAACTAGGGCAAGCCTGGGTGGTCCCCAGACCCCGAGTCAAAAGGGGCCTGGGACGAGACTTAGAGCCAAACCAGCTTTATTCTAGTGTACTATAGAATAAAGGGAGACAAAAGGGAATATGCTGCCCAAAGCAGTGTCTTGAAAGTTGCACCCCAAAGCATGAGTTTTATACCCTACTCAGGTCACCTAATACACACCTAATGCATCAATACAGCAATGTATGCACTCCTCCCCCTGCTGTTAGCTTCAAGGAGTCCTTTCTTCTGTCAAGGACTGCACATTTCCCATTTCTATTTCTTACCTGCTCTAGATTCACAGAGGCCTGCCATGTTCTTACGCCCTGCACATTTGTAATTTTCATGGTGGCTGTAATGAGTTACAGTCACTGTCCCTTTGATTACTGCATTTGAGGTCAGACTAGCTTGTTAGATGTGGATTACACAAAGTTCGAGTTTTTATATGCCGCCCCATCGCTTAACGCCTGTTTTTATTGCCCCTCCCTTCTGGGACAGTATAACCATTTTATACTGTGGTGTTTTTACTATGTGGCCTCCCTCTGGCCAACTACTTTTGTGGTGTTTTAGGGTGCTGCGATTGGCAACAGCTTGGCATAAGGGAATCAAATTTTGTGCTGTTGCTGCCCCAGATATTGAGCACTGTGTTGCCCCTAAATGCAGATCTGTGTCATTTCAGGAGGGGCTGTAAGTGAATATTTAGACACCATGCCTTTTAGGGGTGAATGAAAAGGCAAAGAATTCCATTGCATACCTGCCAAGATCATTATTTTTATTTTCATCACCCTAATTATTTCTGTGGCTTTTCTGTACCAACCAAGATGATGTATGAAAAATGAAGGAAACAGAAATCCAAAGCAAACAGTAAAACTGACATTCCTGTGCAAGGTTACACAGAAAAACATTTGGGGCATGCTGGGAGCAATAGGTCCCTTTTCTGCTAATTCCTGCACAGAATTGATGTCTTAGTGTTTTCCATATGGTGTGCGGTGTAACCATGGTGCTTGTGCCTTTACCATGTGAGATTCATACCAAGGCTCAGACCTGTGTAATATGAATGGCAAACTGGTATGGTCACACTTCTGGGGACTGTTTGCTGGAAGGGCTGATTAATGTTGGCCTTTATAACCAGAATTTCCACTCTGTAGGCTTGCAGAAACTGAGGGAAAAGAGAGTCTTGTCCTTTGAGCATGCATGAGAGGGCAGAGTGGATAAGTATCCTGCCTAAACTCAGTTGTAGAACCCAGATGCATGATGTCCGTTGTAAAAGCCATTTCTGTTGTTCTTGACCAGAAGGAAATGGGATCTCCTGAAGCAGCAAGGAAGAGAATCCTCCCAATTTGGATGACACAAAAGGGAGTTGATCCAGCACAACAAACAGAAACAAAGTCAAAGAGAAGGAAAAAAGCAGCTTTGGCAAGGTCAGTTGTTCATGCTGGTTCTTTTGAACCAGGATAGGCTGAATTGTACTTCAGCCCTAAACCACCAAGAAAAAGCCAGTTCATAGTAAATGGCAGAGATTTTAGAGTGCCAGTGCGAGTTGCTGGTGATTTTCTTGAACCAAGGTGGAAGTTAACCTCTACTTGAGGAAGTGTGATGTAGGAGCCAGGTCTGACTACTTTTGCTTAGAAAACAAAGGCTGTTTGCATCCCTCACTTCTAAAGGGAGGCACATTTCAGATCCAGATAAGGACACTTCTTCCATGACCAAAGCCAGCTTTATATTTGCAGCCTCCGTCAATAGGTGTTTTTAAAGGCACCTGGTGCCCTCCAGATGTGTTGGAACTATGGTGTCCACCCAGGACAATCATTAGCTATGAAGGGTGGGATTGATGGGGGTCTGCAGTCTCAAGCATCTGGAGGAAGCCAGGTTGGGGAAGACTACCTTTGAGCGAAAGTGAGTAAACAAGTGCATCCAGGTTGCTTTGGCTTCCAGTAATGTCAAATTAGAAGTGGACAGCTTGCAGGCCAGTCATCTGGAAAGACCCCAACTCTCATCATTCTTAATCTGCACAGCCAGTGGTGATGAATGATGGCAGTTATAAGCAGAAACATCTGGAGGATTACAAGTTGCCCACCCCTGTGTTAAGCAGTGCTGATACGGAAGAGGAGCACTATCTGGAATAGGAACAAGTTTAGTGCGAGGATTTGGTGCTACTGTTGTGTTGCCAGTGAAAATGATCATGCTGTTCCATTTAGACTATCAGGCATCGGCACAGCTCATGTATAAACTGTTGTGTTGAATCTGTGTCCTAACCATAACAGTTTCTTTCTGGATACATTTTTAGAACTATGCTCTAATGTTAACTCAGCTGCTTCCTGTTTATGTTTTCATTCACTGTGGTCACATTCCTATCCATGTTTAGACAGAGAAAATTCCACAACTCACAGCATTCCCCAGGCAGCAAAGCTAGCTAGCAAATGCTGAAAGTTGTAGGACTTTTTTCTCTAAGCATGCATAGGATCGTTCCCTAACAACCCATCCTACACATGTTTAGAATTCCACCCAAATAAGCAGTGTTTAATCCCAGGTAAATGTATATATTATACAGCAATCTAAAACATGTTTCCTCTTTAAAAATTCCCAATATGAATATGAACTAAGCACATAACAACCAAAGTTTGGGGAACAAAAGAAGTTTATTAAAAGGATAAAACATAGGAGTGGAGGACACTATAACATTCAGGCTAAAGCAGGCATGTCCAAAGTCCGGCCCGGGGGCCAATTGCGGCCCATTTTCACATTTCGAGTGGCCCGCAGCCTCTTCTCCCCGCCAGCTCAGCCTGTCACTCATCCCCGCCGGCCGGCGTTTTTCCCTTCACCGCACAGCGGTTCCCGCAGCTGTCCCCTGCTGCCTCTGCCCCTTCAAGGCTGGTGGTTATATTTCGCCAGAAGATGGCAGTAGCCCTGAGTCAGCACTCTCCCGCGTGACCCTTGTGACACAAGGCTTGTGTGCCCATTTCTAAAATGGCGACTGTAACTAAAAAAAGGAAAGTTGACAGCGAGGGCCGCCGCTTCCAGGACAAGTGGAAATTGGAGTATTTTTGCACTGAAATACGAAACAACTCTGTCTGCCTAATTTGCCAAGAGACTGTGGCTGTTTTCAAGGAATTCAATATCAAGAGGCACTACCAGACGAAACATGCTAACTACAATGAGCTAACTGGGAAGGAACGCGGCGAAAAATTGAAGGAACGGGAAGCTGCTTTAACAACACAGCAGCGCTTTTTCACAAGAGCCCGTGAGTCAAATGAAAATGCCACAAAGGCGAGCTACGAGGTGGCAACGCTGGTTGCCAAGCACTGCAAACCTTTTACTGAGGGTGAATTTCTTAAAGACTGCGTGATGAAAATGGTGGAGAAAATTTGTCCTGAGAAGCAACAGTTTGCCAATGTTTGCCTGGCTCGTAACACTGTGGTACGGAGAATTGAAGACGCTTCATCTGATATTAAGAGACAGTTAGAGGCAAAAGGAGTGGAGTTTGACTTTTTTTCGTTAGCCTGCGACGAAAGCACGGATGCATCTGACACCGCTCAGTTATTGATTTTTTTGAGAGGAGTGGACAATGACATGAACGTGAGTGAAGAGCTACTTGACCTCCAGAGCCTTAAGGACCAAACAAGAGGAACAGATTGATTTGTTTCTGTTTGTTCCGCTGTAGATGACATGAAACTACTGTGGAATAAAGTCACTGGGATTATTACGGATGGCGCACCTGCCATGGCTGGCGAGTGAAGTGGATTATCGACCCTAGTCTGTAACAAAGTCAGCGAAGAAGGAGGCAAAGCTATAAAACTCCACTGTATTATTCACCAACAAATTCTCTGTGCCAAACATCTGAAATATGATCATGTTATGAAACCGGTGATGAAGGCTATTAATTATTTTCACTCCAAAGCCATGTGCCACCGCCAGTTCCAACAGTTTCTACTCGACATCCAGGCTGAATACGGAAATGTTGTGTATCACAACGAGGTAGGATGGCTCAGTCGGGGGTCTGCACTGCAGCGCTTCTACTCTCTTAGGGAGGAAATCGGACAATTCTTAGCAAAAAAGGGACAACCCATGCCAGAGCTATCTGATCCTGTTTGGCTGGCTGATTTTGGATTTTTAGTTGACATAACATGACATCTGAACGTGCTGAACACGAGCCTTCAGGGGCAAAATGCAGTGGTAAGCCAACTGTATTCACATATCAAAGCCTTTGGGACCAAGCTGCTACTTTTCCAAAGGCACCTGTCACAAACGCAGCCTAATACCACACATTTCCCTTTGCTGCAGGAAATAATGACCAGTGCTCCACAGAACAATATGAGTGTGCAAATAAGGAGGTATGAAGCAGACATCTCACCTCTGGCTGAGGAGTTTCAACAGTGCTTTCGGATTTTGCAGCTATTGAAAAGGAGATCATGCTTTCTTCAGCTCCTTTCTCTGTGGACCCTGATGACGCTCCAGACCACCTGCACCTGCAGCTCATTGAGCTGCAGTGTGACGCCGAGTGTCGCAGTCGGCACCAACAGCTCCCTCTTGTCAACTTTTACCGCCAGCTGGATAAAGACAGGTTCCAAGAGATTCAAACATTTGCTAAGAAAACGCTGAGCTTGTTTGGTTCGACATACTTGTGCGAGAAGACATTCTCGGTTATGAACATTAACAAGAACCACGTGAGGGCGAGACTAAGTGACTTTCACCTGCGTGACATCTTGCGCATCAAAACCACTGTTTTTGAGCCAGACCTGGCCTATATAATGCAGTCGAGATCTCAGTATCACCCTTCACATTAGTGCAGTTAAGTTATTTGTTTAGTCTTTCATAAAATAGTTCATTTGCATTTAATGTTAATGATTCAAAGAATGTCAGGCTGAATGGTCGGCCCCCACACATTTTCACCTCACCAAATCTGGTCCTCCTTGCAAAAAGTTTGGACACCCCTGGGTTAAAGGGATAAAACAGGGTAAAATGGGGAAGGGGAGGGAGTAATTGTTAAGCAGCAAAGATACTGTTCACAGCCAACCAAGCACCCCCAACCCCAGGGACTTGTTGCCCCACTCCAACCTGAAAAGAACAAAGCTTACCCTTGCCTCAGCTATACACAGAAACTCTACCTTTGACAGGGTCAAGATGCAGCATTCACAGCATGGCACAGAGAACAGGCAGCAGAACGGATCCCTCAAAGAGGAACAAAGAGCCTCTCTGTTCCCCAGCCTTTATCCTTCCACCATACCACTGGTCAGCTGAACCATGGGGAGATGGTCTAACTCCCAGTCCTTGCCTCAGACCACTGATGAGTCATTGCTGTTATCTTCTGAGTCCTTGAGGCCAAGGTTTCTGACAAGTCCCTGAAATAACACAGGAAAGGGGAAGAGGATGACTCCTTGGGCACCAGACCTTACAGTATTAACCCTTCCCTTGCTCTCTGTGAGCCAAGGGGCCAGTTCAGGTTACACTCAAAACGTTGCATGCATGATTTATATGCTTATTTGCAGGAGTGAAACAGTCTATTGCATGAATGAAGCAGAGCTGGTAGACATAGCTCTTTGCATCTTGGCTGAGGTGAGCTCTGAGCGTGTGCTTTTTGAGGGTGGTAGTAGGTGCTTGCTTTTTCACTCCACCATACAGTGGTGGCTCTTTTGTTAAGCCTTGTCATACCCCTTCCTTCCTTCTGAGGATGGAGAAACAAATGTATTTATTAGATTTATATTCCGCCTTCTTTTTTAAAGAACACAAAGCAGTTTACATCATGCCCCTCCTCCTGTTCTCAGTCTTATCCCCACAACAACCACATGTGGCAGGTTGGGCTAAGAGTCTGTGACTGGGTAAAAGACACCCAGTTGTCTCCATGACTGAGAAGGAACCAGAACCCAAATCGTCTGAATCCCAGACCTGCACTCTTATCCACTAAAACACTGACCAGCTCTCTGACAAATCCCAGGTTGGTGCTATTTTGCCCTTGGAGAATCAGTTATAATGTTCAGTAAGAAGATGAGAGTTGTGGATACTTTCTCATCCTTTACAAAGTGCATCTGCTTCCTAGCTTGGTATGGTCAGACAGAGGGGTGGCATAGTGCCATTGTTTCTTGTTAAGATCTATGTGCCTCTGGGATACTTCTGTAGAACTGGGAGCCATTACATCTGTGCAAGCTGCACAGAGTCCCACCCTTTTTCAACTATTTGGTTATTTCCTGACTTGTGCATTCCCCCTCCTGCTGCCTTTCTGCAAGGTTGAAAGGCTTTTCCCAAGGCTTAGTTACAGGAAGTGAGAACTGCACACTGAAATACGTATTTTTGGTGTTCCTCTTTTGTCTTGGGTCTCAGCCTCCATTAGCTTACTGAAATAAAATTGGCCCTGAAAGAATTCAAGACCAAAATTTAGGCTGACAGAAGCTGAACTGCCCTTTATTAACAGGTTGCTACCAACATGCAAGAGTATGTCTTTACATCTGATTCTTTTCTGTGCTAGAACTGCAAGGGTAAGGGAGCTGAGGTGACTTCATCAGAAGACGAAGTCCAAGAGCCTCAGCACATGCTGTCAGATCATCACTCAAGTTCAGTAAGTGACATCAACATCTCTGGCACAGGATCCACACCTCCCAAGGTGCTTGATGCTTTAAGCAGCAGTGAGAACACCAAGTCAGAGGATGACGATGATGCCTTAAAATATGTCAGGGAGATCTTCTTTACTTAATAAATCGTAAGAAAATCACACAGAGGAAGCCATTTCTGGAGACTGTGTCAAATAGGATGTTCAGATTCAAAGGCAACCCTGGGGCAGCTCCTAATGACAAGTGTACAACAGGAAGGAGTGGTATCCCACATTCTTCATCGTGGTTTCTGTGCATCTCACATATCTCATCGCTTCCGAAACAATTGATTCAAGTAGGGAAAGCATGTACTAAGAGCAGGGTGTGCGTGCACGTGTGCGTGCATGTGCGTGCATGCGCTGGGAGAAGCCTGCTTTTAGTTTCCTTGAAAGCATAAATATTTTCACATGACTTGTAAGAACTGAACTCTTTAGCTGTGTCATAAGTCCTAATGCCTGTGCGATGTGTTAAGTGTTAGACTGGGCCTTCTAGTCCCTCCTCGTCAATAAAGCTCTGGTTGACTTTGGGCCTGTCACTGACTCTCAGCCTAACCTACTTCACAGGGTTGTTGTGAAGAGGTCTATGTATGCTGCCTTACATTCCTCAGGAGAAAATGGCATCAAAATGTGATACAATAATAATAATGCTTCTTCCGCAGCAGTCTTTGTTTTCTTCATTCTCAGGGAAGAGGGCTGGGTTTTGTTTAAGGCTGACCTCAAGTGGAATTCTTAGAATATCTGATGTGAGCTGGAACTTGATTGTGATCCATGGGTTCTGCAAGCATTGTAGGCCTGGGGACCTATCTTAAAGCAGACTCCAAGCCCACACACCCCCACACTGCCTTCACTGGAATTACTAATAGCACACAGGACAAGCACAGCCTGTTCCTTTCTTCTAACTTCATTCTAGGAGGAACAGATCCCATCCTGGAAATTGCTTCTATTTCTTTTAAGAGCTCTGAGCTCCAGGAAAGTTTCAGTAAGCATGTGTTTCTTCTTGCTGCTGTAGTAATGGGGAAAGTTAGCGTCAGAACTTCACTGGTGGCTTAAGTAACCTGACAACCGTATTCCTCACTTTAATCCTCTTCTTTGGAGGACAGAGCTGAACCACAGCCTGAAATCTACTGATCGCCCCTCCCCCCCCCTTGCACATGCAGGTATAGCCCAACAGTGTGTGCAGGTATAGCCCAATAGCAAGAACACTGGAGCAGCTGTTGGAGAACAAAGTTGTTGCTCCTGAGAGCACCGGTCACACTATCTGTTAATGTGCAACACTGACTTTGGTTCAGTGCTAAGGTATCACTGAGAAAGGAGTATAAGCATGCACTCCCCCCTCCCGCTTAAGCTAAATAGTAATTTAGCCACCATATTGTTTCATTCACATGTAGCAGGGATGCGATTCAAGAATCACAAAGCAGCCTGTAGTGAAAGTGACCTGGAAAGTTTGTATTTTGGAGCATTGCTCTGTTACCAGTTTTCAGAACATCACAAAGCTGCATAATTTACATTAGAAATGAAAGCTAGAAAGTAAATGGCAACTGAATCATGAATGCACTAGGTCAGTCTAGGTCAGTCTCCCTCAGTGTGGTGCCCTCTGGGTGTTTTTACACTACAACATATCTCTGGTCCTGCTGGCCCAAGTTTGTGTTGAATGTAATCTAGCACATCAATAGAGCAACAGTGTGGGGCAGGATGCACAATGTGGTCTTAGATAAGCCAAGTCTGACACATTTGGTAATGATTAATAACACTTTAATTTTAATGAAAAAGTGATTGGTCTCCAGCAGAAAGATGGTTGAAAAAGCAGATCCAGCAATTTTCAGGTAGCTTTCTTAAGCTTTCCAAAAAAGTTCGTAATTTTAGTCACACTTAGTAATTATGGTCTATGAAAAGCCTCCTTCTTTCATGGAGTAACAAGTACATGCTGGAATATAACTTATGCTACCACTGTTATCAGACACCAGAGTATTGACACTGCAGTCATACCAGCTGGATGTCTGGAGAATACCGTTGACTAAGACACACTGTATAAGAATTGAATGTAAAGCAGTCTTCTGCTTTTAATAATGTGTATGATTATCCAAGGTGGCTACAAATTCTGGTGGTGCAGTCTACTACCACTGGAGGACACCGGGCTGGTACACAAAAGGGAACAGCCCAGTCTGCCTCTGCATCTAGTTAAGCTTGTTTTTGGAGCTTATGATCCCTTTTGGCTTGGAATGGGCTTGCTTCTGCTTCCAAAATCCTCTGGTCTGTCGTGTGAATAGATGGGTTAGCAGCAGCAGTTCTTGAGCAGAAATTCCAGTAGAATTGGCACCACTTTTTAACCTAACTTTCATTAAAATTCAGAGACTAACAAAATCATACCATCATAGCATATTGGAAAGTAGGAATTATTGCAATTTCTTGTTCAATAAAAGTTGTAAAAGAACAGTCTTCCTACGCTAGGACTCATTGAAAAAAATAAATGTTGTATAATATTAGCACAGCAGTAGTAGAACAAAAGATTGCTTTTTCCAAGCAGTATATAGGTCTCCTCCTTAAAGGAGAGGAAAATTAATGGCACAAGTTTCTTCAGAGTCAGCGTGTGAGGCACCCGTTGCATCTTACATTCTGTATTTCTCAGTACAACTGTGAAATCTCTCTTCACAAAGCAGGTGACCCGAAAAGTAGTTGCAGTCATAGTTTATCTTCCATTTAGAACTTGGTGCAGGAAGTGGTGCAGGCATTGCTAGTTTAGACACCAAAAAGTTTCAGCTCTGACAAGTACCTAAGTCAGCTGCTGTTGAAACAGCCTAAAAGGCTGCAACCATTCTGAAGGCATCAAGGAAGCAATCCGGTCCCTGGCATTTAAAACTGAGGCGGAAACAAATGCATCAGTGTGCTGGGAAGGAATATCACCCCTTTACCTAGTATACTCACGGGATAATAATGCCTGTATTCAACTCACCCTCTATCTGGAAAAGGAGAGTGATTGCTATACACTTAACTTTTCATCCCACCCCAGTATTTGATAGGCAAGTAGATACTTCATGTTCTTATGGGATGCTCCTTTCAGAATATAATTGTCTTCTGGGAAGAGTTTCTTTGAAATATGCAAGATATACAGCAATAATGATCACATGGAACAAGAGTAAAATATGAGCCCCCAATAGCATTGTAAAAACCTCACCAAATTCTGAGAAATGAATCCACTGCTGAAGGTGGAATAAAAACAAAGCCAGACCAACAGGCAAAATCAAATCACAGATTAACAAAACAAAACCGGCCAGTTTCCACACAGCTCTGTCTTTAAGGCACAAGGCCTGCAAGACCATAGTGCCCACAAACAGGCCCAAGACTGGCATGGTATACACAAAGAACCGTGATAACACCAACACGTTCAAGCTGATACCCATCTTCTCCAACTCCTTGGGCTTGAGACAGTGCAGTTTTTCTGTTTCCTGGTCCCACAGACAGAAGTTGTAGAAGCCAATTCTTTTCGTGGGAAGATTCACAATATCCCCAGCTCCCCAGACGAGGGAATAAAACAGCAAAGCAATGTAACCAATTGCCAGGGAGAGATTACTCAGGCACCACAGGCACGGGCTGCATCTCTGCCACCAACCCTGGGCTGTGCTGGGCTTAGCAATGGCTGTTTCGAACTTCAGCTGCATTTTCCTCCTGAATACCTGGCAAGAGAAGGCAACAGTCATTGACAGCTTCCAAGGGTCAAGCCATTGACAGCTTTCAGGGGTTTGTGGCTGAGAACCTTAGCCACAAACTTCCTGGGTGACTTTCCTCAGTCCCTCTCTTGGTCAAAACTATTGTTGCAAGAACAAACAGCAGAGATATGTGAGAAGAGACTATATGTAACTATAATAATGTTATTGCCTGATGATGTCTGGCAGAGTCTGGATCAACTGTTTTATTCAGTGTTGCCTGAACTGGGAGTAGCTACTACCCCCTGGGCTCGCTGCAAGTCTCATAAAGATTATGACAACAGTGGTGGCAGCAGCAAGCGGAGAGGCTCTGTCCTATAAACAGAAGCATGACCTTGAGGATCGATGTGTAGCTCCTAAGCATCAGGAAGGCAATCAGCATGTGAAAGGGTCCTGGAGGACAATTCTACACACATTCACCTACACCTAAGCTCCATTAAGTCCAACAGCCTAACATCTCATAAGAGACAGCTAGGATTAGAATTAGTCCCTATGTATGTATGTATGTATGTATGTATGTATTTTAAATGAGTTATTTCCTCTAAATCATGCAGTATGCTATAAAAGATTCAAGAAAATTCCTTTCTCTTAAACTTAAGTCCTTAAAAGCTCCTCCATTGATAGTTCCAACACTTAGATAAATCTTTCATTGTTGAAATGGATTCAGTATGCACAAAGAAAGCTTTTTCTGACTTTTTCAGAGCCAGGGTTAGCCCAAGACACACAACCCACAAGATACTCAGGAGCACAATCCAGTGCACCTTAGCGCCAGAACTCAGAGGTTGATATGAATTCAATGCTCAGAGCAAGGCACGGCAATGGCAATCTCTGCTGCTGCATTTCACCCCGTGTATTTACTCTAGCTGGCCATTTCTGGCTATTCAGATATAGTGCTAGGGAGGAAAGGAACTGGGGCACCATAGGAGCTGGCATCCAGCAATAGCCCCAGCCTCCTGCCCCTTTTCATCTTCTCTGAGGCCCAGCTGCATCCCTGGAGAAGAAGCTGATGGTTTTTTTCCTGGACCAGCTGTGGCAGGGGCAGGGTGGGGGCTCAGCCTTTAGGAATCCCAGCAGGTCACGGGATTATACCCCTAATGGTTCAGGAAAAACAGTAACTCCACATTCAACATTTGAATGTGTTGAATCACGGGTTGTTGCTGGACCTTGGGTTATTATGTTGTCTGAACCCAGATGTATTAACAAGTCATGAAGAGAACCCCATGTTTTGCTGCTGGGTTGTAAACTGTGGGTTGTTCATCATCTTGGTTGGGTCTGAACATGATAACCTATGTTTCAACAATGACCCAATTTTTTTTTTATTATCTTTGACATAATCCAAAATAAACTGCTTCAGCTGGTTTTTATGCTGCCTATTGGTAGAGCTGGCCTCATTTGCGATTACTGAACAAGCAAGTATTAGGTTATCATGGAGTCTAGCAAACTCTATTCCATCTCATTGTGTACAGTACCTAGACAGAGATTTTTATCCAGCTTTTCTTGTTCTGAGACATCAAAACGTGTATGCTTTTTAAAAACTTCCTACAAAAGCCCTTTGGTTTTAATTCTGATTGATACCACATCACCTGTCACTGTGATGCTACTTGACATTTTCGTTTCCTACCTATCCCTTGAATTAAAGGCCTTCAGCGTCTATAAATTACAACATCAAGCTGTGTAAGAATATCCAAGATGGTAAAATTGCTAGGCATGGGTGGAGTGGGGGAAAGGGAAAAATGGCAGATACCACTAGCAGAAAGATACTTGTTCTAAGCAACACACAGCAATGTGCAGATCATGAAAAAGTATGATCTTTTAATGTATGTTGAGATACATTTTGAGATACATGTTGAGATACATTAAACCAGTTTAATGTATGTTGAGATTCATTCAGTACATCCAGATGACGACTGTTTTGGCACCTATGAATAGCAGATTTCATGATTGGGTTAAAGTATAGGTTGATTATCTGGATTTGGCAACATGCAAAGTTCTAAACTTCAACTGCCCTACACTCATATATATTAATGGCATAGACTAGAAAGGAACATATTTTATTTCACAGAAGCAGCAAGCATATGACTGCTGGAGTCAAATGATTCCATGGATCTCTCCATGTGAGAGCCAAAAAAATGTCCTTGGAGAGGAAAATCTGATGCTTCAGCCTCCTCTGTGAGTTTGTGGAAAGGTTTATACATAGTACTACTCCAACGTTTAACACTCAAGTAGAAAGCAAAAAGGTGACCCCAGAACTAGGGATGGGAAGAAATGTACACTAGCCCTGGAGCTGGCATAGTTAATTTTCTTCCCACTGATATCACTAGGAAAGAAACAGCTTATGCAAGGAAGGAACCCCTTTCACCTTTCCAGCTTGCATCCTGCATGACTTCAGATAAGCACCTTTAGATCCCCCACCCCACCCTGTAAGGTAGGTTTATTCTGAAATTAAACTTGGGGTATAGTCCAGACAAAGTCAAGCAATTTGATGTTTTATTGGTTTTCCTGAAAGATTTAGGATTGTGGTTGATTCTTCAGTTGAAATAACTGAAGATTTAGGATTATGGTTGATTCTTTGGGACTTTCAAAGCATGTAGCCTTTGCTGAACTCAAATACTTTGGCCACCTAATGAGAAGGAAGGACTCACTCGAGAAGACCCTAATGCTGGGAACAATTGAGGGCAAAAGAAGAAGGGGACGGCAGAGAATGAGGTGGCTAGATGGAGTCATTGAAGCAGTTGGTGTGAGCTTAAGTGGACTCCCCGGGATGGTGGAGGACAGGAAGGCCTGGAGGAATGTTGTCCATGGGGTCGCGATGGGTTGGACATGGCTTCAAGACTAACAACAAGCCTTTGCTGGATACCTGCAGCTTGGAACTGGGCTAAAAGGATTAATTCTCCAAAAGACTAGGCCTATCAATTGTTCTAACACTGCTAAATAAAACCTCTATGTTCAGAGACAGTAGGTATCTTACTTCCAGATCTAGAGGCAACACCACAGGGAAGAACTGTTGTTTTCATGCAACTGAATTGGCCAGTGCTGGAAAAATGGATTCTAGACTGAAGGAATCCTAAATCTGATCCAACAGGGTGTTTCTCATGTGTGTACACTTGCACAGGTTTTGAAAAACACACAAGCTCATCACCCTGGACCAGGAGTTCCCACATTCTTTTGGGTAGTGGACACATTTGGAATGTTGGGAAAGTCTGTCTTCAAAATGGCTGCTGTTAAGGAAGAGATTAACTAGTCATAAAATGGCCACCCTGGTAGGCATGGCCAGTCACAATTATTATTAACTAATTAACCAGAAGGCAAACTGATGAGACTAGAAGACATGTCACTTGCCCAGTATTTAAATACAAGGCAGAGGCTGGGCCTGAGTCCTAAAACATAAAACTACACCTCTGAACACAAATAAAGAGGTTTCTGGAAGACACCACTTCCTTTTGTAGCAACCCACTCAATCAGTTAGCTTTTATTTTTTTTTAAAAGAAACTTAATAAAAATAAAAAAGTTAGGAGGGACAGGGAGTCTGATGCGTGCCAAGAGAAATGTCTGCGAGTGCACTGGCACCCATGGGCACCCAGTTAAGGTCTCCAGCCCTGAGCCAAAGAAAATAAATGGCTCTATTAATTAATAACCCAATATTGGTGGCTTTATCGATTTACATAGGATTTCTACCAAAATAATGTTTGAGGCTTGATTACCACCCTTTGATACCACCATTTCATAGGAAGAAGGGAAAAAGTAATTTCTCTGTCCTGGGCCTACTATAAAATCTATGCAATTTCATAGCGTTTAAGTGGCAGTGCACTTTTCATTTTTGACCTTATTTCCAGGATTTCGCTTGCCCTTTTACTAGCTATAAGAAAAAATGTGTGCCAAGAACACCTACTTGGTGCAAAACGAATCCGAGTGACAAAGGAACAGGGGTGCGCTCTCTTTGAAAATATAAACGCCAGCCTTTATTCGGATTTATCTATGGCAAAGCGCAGTCAGGAGATACGTGACAACCCTCATGTTGCTAAGAGAGAGCTCAGCAAGGGACGATTGGCATTAGGGGAGGAGAAAGAAGGCGCAGGCGAGGATAAACAGGAAGGAGAACAATAGTACGCCCGGGGGAGGTGGGGGAGGAACAGCGCCGTGCGTGAGCGAGGTTGGTAAGGAGAGCTTAGACGGAATCCGGAGGCAACGTTTGGGATAGACTGAAGCATAGGAGAAAATACGCAGCAGGTTTACAGGAAAACGGAGGACAAGAAAGAAACTAGGGCGAAATGGGGAGAGGAGAAACACAATATGGGAAAGTGAAAGCGTGACTGAGATGAGAGGGCGAAAGAAAAGCAGACACGCAACCCAGCCCAGGTTCCCTCTTTAATCAGCAGATTTTGCCTAAAGCGTTTAGGGGGAAGCACAAAGAAGCGAAAGGAGCTCCGAGCAAGGAGGACTCAATCCGACAGTCGCTGGGGGGAAGCGGTTTGGGGGCTAACGCAAGGTTTTGCAACTGCGTCCTTGGGACTTACGGCGGCGGTTAGCCCTATGCTACCTTGCCCGTCTTGCCCCAGCAAGTGAACCCGAACCACGACTGAATGGTGGCCAGATCCCGTATGGTGGCTGGACCCCGCCCGCACTCCGGTTTTAATCCTAGTACTTAATTTGTGGATGTGGTGGGGAAAATGCCGTGGAAACCGCGAAGGTGTGTTCAAACCTCTTCCAAACTCACTTTGGAATCAGTGTCTGCCTGCAGGCTTTCAAGATACTGACAACGCCTCTTTCAAATGGCTTACGAATTATGAGGAAAAATTCTGATGTGCTGGGCTTCGATTTATTTACATCTATATTGTTATTCTTTTCCTGTGTCACGTCGAGCTCTGAAGCCTGCCTTCCGTTCCACCCATGTTGCACAAACTGAGCGAATTCATCACGCACACTTTTTTCCCCAAAGCGGTGCAGAAACTCTGCAGATCGGACAAGGAGATAAACGGGAGGAGAGAGGCTGCTGAGCCTGTTTAGTGCTAACCGAATGAGAAGAACCTCTCGAGCTGTCCCGGTACAAAACCATAGCAAAAGTAGGCTGTAAAGAAACAAGGATCTTGCGCCTCCCCAACCCTATTTTTAAAGTCTTTTTAAAGTCTCCGAGCCTTTTTAGATAAACAGAAGCGCACGGACGCTTTAAGATAGAGGGAATAAAGGAAAATAGTTACTTGCTAACTTCGACGATGGCGCTGGGTCTCACCAAAGTCTTGATCCTCTTCGGCGATCAAACACCTTCTGGTATTACTTGTTTAGAAAGTTCTGTTTCAGCGTCACGTGCTGCACGCTCAGCCGATTTCGTTTTCGTTTTCAGAAAGTGACGCGCCGGCAGCTGCATCCGCTGTGTCAGGCGTGATTGCACACACGCCTCCCCCAGTTAAGGAACTTAATGGATCCTACCTAGTATAAGAAGGTGTCTTCTTACCTCTTGTTTATGTATTTTCCGTATTTGTATGCTGCCTTTAAAAGCCACACAGGGTCGCTCAACTCAAAAATACACTCTCAGGGTCGTTCACACAATAACGTAAATATAATAAAAATATAAACATATTCTTTCAAAGTTGCGGTAAACAAAACTTTTACTCCCCTCGTGTCCGCGGTTTTGCTTTCTGTGCTGGCTGCCTCTTATTTACCAATGCTCAAAGATTCTAGTCAGGGATGACTAATGAATGCTCCTTTTAAGGTAAACGGGTTGAAAGAAAATACTTCCTCTTCTCCTAGACAGAATTCTTGAGCTTAAAAACAAAAATGTCAAGCTATGCTACAGGTAGATAGCATATATAGTATGTAACTCTTTTCTCAAGCACAGAAATGGTAATAGCTGAAATGGCTCACCTGATGAATCAGGGCTTATAATACCCCCCTTTAAACATAAAGACTATAGGAAGTCTGCCAGGAAACAGAGTACAAACCCAGCTACAAAGATGCACAAGCAGCTTGTGAATTAAGTATGCTTGTACTTCCATGTACATCTACTGAAATGGAATGTAAAGATGCTTACATTTAAAAAGGTTTCAGGGCTCTTGTTATTGTGCTGCCAGCTGCAGGCTACCTAAACTAGTAATGGTAAACAGTTGGCATTTATCAGTTGCCCCAAAGTGACCATTGCTCAGCTGACTGGTACTTTTGCTAGATTCCCAGTTGTTCAGTACTCCAAAGAAACATTCTCTTGGTCCTCTCAAATTATTCCCAATATTGCCAAGATCTGATATTCTGAATTAAAATAGACATTTCATGGGTCACTCGCTCAACTCAAAAATACACCAAGTTGCAACAGTTTATGGTTTCATTACCCACTCAATGCTGTGAGATCTTTATGGAATTCCTTACAATGCTAGTGAAGCTGGCTCATTTTACTGAAATTAGTTTTATTTACACAGTTATTACTAGCATCAAGGACAAGTTTCCAAGGAATAATAATGATACTAATATTCCAATTCAAAAAGAGTGTGCCATCTGTGGGCCCAGTTTTCTCCCTGCTGCACATTGCCTGCATCTGTCTCCCCTTCCCCATCTGAGTGCTCACTGTGTGCTCACTCCTCTCCCATTCCACCCCAGCTCACTCAACCTATGTCCTGTGCCTTCCATCCTATTGCCAGATTCTGAAGACTATCAGCCAGAAAAGCAGCCAGCACACTCTTCAGGAACTTGGCTAAGCCCTAATGTGTTGCTCAATGATCCTTTTCTCAAAGCCAGGCATTAAGGGAGACTGCTGGTGGTTCTGAAGAGATGCACTGGTCATTTTTCTGGCTGAGGTGTCCCTTCAAAAAGCTTACCTACGTGCTGCCCTATGAAAGGATCCACAGAGCTAGTGAGGGCAGTGGCAGCAAGAATAGCAATGGGGTTGCAAGGATGGTGAGAATTATGGCAGCAGTGAGGGTGAGCAGGCAAAAAAGGTGGAATTTGCCACACTGCCATACTGCTTCCTGTGGCAGGCATCTTATCTGCTTCATGGAAGAGCTGACCCTGTACATTGCACTTTTATTGTTGTGCCATATTCATAAATTCGCATTTGTTTTGGACTAATGACATTTTTATCCACTGTTTCCATTCTAAGTTAATTTGAATTTTATTTTGGAGATGTTAATTATTCCAGTTTCCGCCATAAACACATTTAATTAGGACTCCCTTAATCTGAGACACTGATGAAAATTTTGAGGAGTAACATGTAGGATAAAGTTCAGGTATTTCAGATCCCAATTCATACAGTCATCTTTCTGCCATGCTTTTGAAGCACCAAGAATGCCTTGGTCATCACCATCTGGTAGAGCTAAGTATATTGACTTCTGTTGACCATGCCCAGGAGTTACCAATACATCTTCATAGTCATCTAATACTTAACGATCTAATTGCAAGAACCTGTGGCAATGAGTCCCAGAAGCTTTTGTTTTTTTGTTTTTGGGTTTGTTTGTTTGTTTAATTCTACTACTTGGTCCTCTTGAATCTTCTTGCAATTTTCTGGTCATCCACTTTGTTTTTCTCAGTCTATATATATTTTAAACATTTACTAATATATTTTCATAATTAAACTGATTTCTCCCCTTTCACTTTCTTCAGACCACATGCAGTCCTTATAAAACATTCACATTTCCCGAAACCTGTTTTGGAAAGGAAAAGTCCCAAATTTGAAAGCATACAAAATGAAGAGTTTTATGGTACCTTAAAACTGCTAGCCTGTGCCTTTCCCACTAGCCTTTCTTTCTGAAATTCTAGCCTTTGTTCAGTCAAATTTTAGGATATATTTCACATACTATTGTCAGCCTGTTATATTCCAGTGTTTTCTGTACTGTCCTCCTGGTTATATTTTCAGACCTGATTGGTGGAAATGTTCCAGAAATAAATTGCAACTGCTGCACTTAGACAGATAAAATAATATTAAGGGTTTTAAAAAATGCTTTTGTGCAAAAGATTAAACAATTCCAGTTTTGTGGTTTTACTCTATTTTGTGGCTTTCTCTTGATGGATCCTGCATAATTAGTGATAAATTTACTACATAAATAGTCTCTCTTAAGTGCAATCCCAGGCAAGTCTACAAATTAAATGTTGCTTACTTTCAGGTAGGTGTGTAAAGAAGTCAGTTAATGCTTTCATTACTGATTACTTCATTTATCAAAATAACATTGTTTTGCTAAAAACAAAACAAAATAGTGAGAGGAAATCAGTCATCAAAACCCCTATAGCAACTGTTTGGAAGACAATTCAGAAAGGCTCTTCAAGGAACAATTAACAAACTGATCATCTCTAATCCTCCAGCCAGGATCAACAGGAAGGAATAGGCCAAAGTTGTAAATAAGCAGGTTGCTTACCTGTAACTGATGTTCTTCAAGTGGCCATCTGTGCAGTCACACATATGGGGTGCTGCGCCTGCGCGGTGCCTTTGGCCAGAAGGTTGCAAGCTAACGGTTTTTGGTGGGAAAGCTCCGCTCCCCCTCCCCCCATGGCCTGTAAAGAGCGGAGCGTCCACCATTTTGTTCAGTCTTTGACGACCAAACGTGCGCCCCTTTGTGGAAAAAATTTCAATATGAGATAGGGAAAAAAGGATCGGTACCATGAAAAAAGGGGAAACTTTCGGTACTGACAAATGTGTCCACTCACCGACACCGAGCGGGGCCGGCAGGTGGGTTGTGTGACTGCACAGATGGCCACTCGAAGAACATCAGTTACAGGTAAGCAACCTGCTTTTCTTCGTCGTGGCCTCTGTGCATCACACATATGGGTAGATTAACAAGCTTACCATAAAGGAGGAGGGAAGGTGTCCTCAGTGAAGAACAGATGAAAGAGCGGCTCTACCAAAGGAGGAATCCTGTCGAGCCTGAACATCGAGACGATAATGTCTGGCGAAGGTACAAGGGTTCGCCCAAGTTGCAGCTCAGCATACATCATCAAGCGGGACCCCCGATGCAAAGGCAGATGAGGTCGCAACAGCCCTAGTGGAATGGCCTCGAGGGGCTGTAGGCAAATCGATCTTAGCCAGTTGATAAGATAAGGTTATAATATGGACTATCCACTTGGAAAGTCTCTGCGGCGTGACTGGATCGCCTTGATCTCTGGTGGAATACTTAATGAATAGTCTATTTGAACATTGAATAGATTCAGTCCTGGATCTGTAAAAGGCTAAGCAACGTCGAACGTCAAGTGAATGCAAAGATCTCTCTAGTGGAGTCGATGGTGATGGAAAAAAGGCAGGTAGAACAATATCCTGCCCCATATGAAAAGGTGTAGTCACTTTGGGAAGAAAGGACGGGTCGAGGTGTAAAACGACTTTCTCTCTGTGAAAGTTCAGGTAAGGAGGGTCTATGCGGAGAACGCAAAGCTCACTGGCCCTTTGAGCTGAAGTGACCGCCACAAGGAATGCTGTCTTTCATGAAACCAGACGCAAATCCACTGTTGCCAATGGTTCAAAGGGAACTCTCGTAAGGGCTTGCAGAACAACAGAAAGACTCCAGGTAGGCATTACTGGTCTGATTGATGAATTAAGATTATGCAGTCCCTTAAGAAATCTCTTGACAATAGGTTGGGAGAAGATAGGTGATCCGTCGACTAAGCCACGATGGTAGGCTATTGCTGCCGTATACACTTTAATTGATGATGGCTTTAAGACGGAATGGTGCAGTTCTAATAGGAACTGAAGGATTTGATGTATAGATGACATAGATGGAGAGAATGAACAGGACTCGGCAAAGGTAGAGAATCGTCTCCATTTAGCTGCGTAAGATTTCCATGTGGACAGCTTTAAAGCAGAATCGAGGATATGTTGGATATCAGGATGAAAGGCTGTCGAATTCGACAGGTCAAGCCTTGAATCCGATTGTACAGAATGAATAAGGGAAGAGGAAGCACCGGATTGATTGGATTCGACGGCAGGATCCGATTCAGTTGAAGTTGTCATTGGTACCGGTGGAACAATGGTAGTTATCGGATTTGCCACACTGTTAGGTTCAATGACAGCAAGTCCGGGTGGCGAAGCATACTGTCCTGTTGGGTTATAAGGTATGGAAACGGTGGTAGATGAAGATATTCCCTGTGAGAGATGTTGAGAAGTGTCGCAAACCAAGCTTGACGTGGCCACCAAGGGGCAACTAGTATCCCCGAGGCTCAGTTGTATACTATCTTCACTATGACCCACATCATAAGAGGGATTGGGGGAAGGTGTAAAAGATCATGTTGTTCCATGGGATCATGAAAGCATCCCCTAAGGATGCGTGTCTGATTCCTGCTCTCAAACAGTAAGCATTGCACACCTGGTTCTGTTGGGTGACGAATAAGTCCACGTCGGGGAACCCCCATCAATGAAAGAGATGGTTGCATGTACAAGGATCTAGCTCCCATTCGTGAGAGATGAACATGTGCCTGCTGAGAAGATCTGCTTGCACATTGTCCGCACCAGCGAGATGAACAGCCATCAGCGTGATGTCTCTCAGAATGCACCAGTCCCAAATTTTCATGGAAAGTCTGGCCAAAGTCGGTGACTTTCTTCCCACTTGTTTGTTCAGATAGAAGATGGTAGCTGCATTGTCCGAAGTTATCTGAATGACCCAATGTTGAAGAATGTCCTCAAAAGAGCGTAGAGCTTTGAATACTGCCAACAGCTCCAGGAAATTGATATGATTCGT